CAGTTGAAAAAGTACTCCAGCACGCATTTCAGCCTATCAAATTTTGCTCAATGAAGTCTTCTTTCCAAAAAAAATATATGTTTTAGAGCAACAAAAGTATTTTGGAATGAATAAAATGTAAAAAGTAATTTTTGGTGGTCAGCTAGTAAGCAGTGCAAGAAAGAACACTTTATATGCAAAAACATTGAGAACAAAGCAAATCCAGAATATACATTTTAAAGATAAATGAGCTAGGAACAGTATAAAAAAATATATATATCATACAAAATGTTTCTCTTCATATAGACAAAGAAAATCGGAACCGAGGTGCTGCTTTATTGCTTGTGCCATGCAGTGAAGTATTGCTTGTTTTTTTTTGTGTGTGTGTGTATGAGACAAGTGAACTCGTTCACTTTTCTCAGTAATTTTCTTTTTTCAATAAGAGCCTGCAGGTATTCCAATATAGATGGATTCCATGATGTGAATAATCTATCTATAAATAAGATGTCCAATGAACTTCCTTATTTCCTCTAGCGGCACCTCTATCCATGAGCCACCTCACTCTGCATGGGCTAGTGCTCCAACATACGCATCCAAGCATATTTGTTTGCATTTTTGCACATCTTATTGCGCAGTTCTAAAACTTTTCACGCTGCTCCGTAGTGAAGGCCAAGGTGTGCTCTGGTGGCCTGCTTGTCGCGAGGAGAAGCTCAGCAGCCGGCGCCAGCACACTGTGCCCCAACGACGTGTGGACCTCATATGTAACCAGAGTACCTACAACACTGCACACAAAGGTCAGCAGCTACGCATTTACAGTGGAGGAGACAGCTTGAGCCCATTAACAAAACAAACCCATGAACATTTGCGGTTGTCTCAGGCTGACACAAAAAATCACCACAAAACTTGAAGCTGAGATGCTGTCGTCCTCACTCGATTATGATGTGGTTGCAATACACTGTCGAGCGGCGCATGTTTTTTGCAGCCCAGATGCACGCATGACGCCGCTACCATAGAAGCGACTAGTGACACTAGATGTGGGCCTGTGTGTGATGTGACGATACAAGGGAAACCAAAGCAGCTGAAAATTGGCTGAGAAGGCAACTTCCACACTCTATACATGTGGTGGACCTTCGTAAATATTTCTCTGTAGTGCGAAAGTATCCGCACTACAGCCAAAACAGCTTCCTTCATAGTTTACACAGGCCCAAAACGTGTTGAGCATGCAGCTTCATGTGTCCGCAAATCGAGGCATGCAATGTGGTGCGCTTACAAGCATGAAATTTCAAAAAATTAGCATTGAACGATCTGTGCTGCCAACAAAATGAATGCAAAAAAAAAATCTACTGGAAAGAAAGTGCATCGCCAAAATTCACCAATTTCATTTCAAGCCACCACCGAAATTTTGTGCACTGAGCTGTACCGATCGTTCGATTTCACGGGCTCACACCCCATATCCAAAGACATTGCGATCAAGTCACGAACCAGCATTCGAGTATTACTATAAGCACTAGCCTATTCTTTATTTCCTTCAATTAGAGCCTACCACAAAGAGTTGATTCCGTACAAAATCGCAACTTTCGATTGCCCGCGACTGCCACTGAAGAGCAAAAACGCTGATTAGGTCTAGCTTACGGTTTCGCATATTGTGCCAGGAAGTTTTAGAAGACAACATGAGGATTGGGCGTGGAAAATATCAGCACTCAAGCACTGATTCAGGAGTAGCGCTGCTTAGTATGATGTTTGCGGCCGGGAAACAAATGGCGAAGAAAGTCAGCCGAGCTTGTCCAAGTTCACGTAGTGTGGCAGCAAAGTGAAAGCTCGTGTCAGAAAGTCGAAAAGCTTTTAAATTTGGGGATGATGTAGCAAACGAGATAATGACGACACTTTGCCCGACAGCAAACTCAAAGCACACTTGATGAGGCCACGATTGCATGTTCCACGCGAACGCATGCAACCGGAGCCACGCTGGTGCAAAGGTTATTCAGACGCTCAGGCAACTGCCCTTCTTCCTCAATCAGCGAGCTTGCGCAGCTGGCTCAGCGATGCCAAGGTCTTTTCTTTTGTTTTTCCTCGCTACAGTTAACATAAGAGGGCGTCGAATTGCAACTGTGCAATTACAGGACATAACTACTGATCCCGACCAAGTTCGGAATGCGCCTATCATGCGCGGAACTAAAAAAATATGACTTCTAGCAGCAAAATGTGGGATGAGCCTAATATGCAAGTGCACCTATTATGCGAGTAAATACCGTATTTTAAAGCAAAGTGTCTACAACTCTGATTTTGGTAACGGTGGCATACACGAAAAACCGATCAAGAGTTACGAATATACCAATCTGATCTGTTATCGAGGTAGCTAGTGATTACATGTAGCCACATTTAACTGTTGCTTATATATTAACGCATGATAGTCATCGTTGCTGGTGGCAAGTGGAGTGTTGCACTGCTAAGCAAAAGGATGGCAGTCCAGCTGCCGGCATGGAGGAAGGAAACGCTCAAGAAAAAGTGTTGCTGAATTCAATAAAAAGAAAGAAAAAAGGACAAGTAGTCCATCAAGCATGTTCACGCACACCCTATTTCCCCCCGACAGGATAAGAGTTCCTGTATTTTTTTTTTTCATTTATCTGTACACACTGCAGGAAAACACTAAGCTGTAAAAGGAGTGGATTAGTTAACTGTCAAAGCTTAATTAAACATCCCAAAACCACCATACAATTAAGCAAGACACCGTGGTAGAGAGCTCCAGAAATTTCGAGCATGTGCAGTTTATTAACATGCACCTAAATTTAAGCACACGGGTCTCGGACATTTCCACCTCCATCGATATTGCGGCGGCCGCGGCTGGGATTTAATCCCACTACCTTCGGGTCAGTATTCGAGCACCTTAACCACTAGACCACTTGTGGCGGGCCAAGGAGCAAGTTGCAACATCACAAAGAAATAAATGGATTCTCAATCGACTTGGCGAGTGTCGGCTTGTCTCACCTGCATCCAATAGAAGCACCTCCGGCTGGACGACTTGAACTTGAGGACATACACTCGGCCTGTGGTGCACTGGGTCACCTTCTTGAATTCAGCATCCTCAGGGAAGATGATCAAGTCCTACGATAATGGTTACCATGGTTACGAAATTTATGCATAATAGCCAAGTAATCCAAAGCTTGTTTAAGTTAGCAAGTTAGCGGCGACGCAGCAGATTACACAAACACAGGCTCTTCGCCTGCACCTGTCTGTGTCGTGAATGAAAGCAACAAATGTTGGTTGTCAACAGAAGCAAGTTGACAAGAGTCGATATTATGTGCATAATATTATGATGCGTATCTAAACAGATGTATCAACGGAAGCCCATATTTGTTGAGGGTCTTGCCGAGAAGACACATATCCAATACCGCACACTCTGCGCGAATAAAGAATAATAAATTAAGTTTACGAAGCTGCATTCCAGTCCTATCAAATTCTCTTCCCAACAAACTATGGAGAAAGGAAGAAGTCCAGTCAGGTAGTCTGCACTGAGTCTGGTTATCTGATGAGTTAGCTAAAAGGCTGTAGTTCTCCTCATTAAGTTAAGAAGGAAGATTATTTATTCACATAAACTTTCTACGAGCGAAAAGGTGCTTATTTCACACTATGAAATCATCATTGCCTTCATGTAATGTAATGGTCGCTTCTGACAATAGCAGCATTGCTAAAGTTTTAAGCGAGTGTGTGAAACATTCAGACGGTAGCATACTACAATTTCAATAACATCTGTGCTAAGCAATGTTCACTTGTTCCTCCTATTATGTGTAACTACTATGAGCCATTGTGCATCTGTTGTAGTCAAGTCTTGTCTTTTTTTTCCCCTCTCCATCTTGAAAATAGCTACAAACACTTTTCTTTTATCTTTCCTGTGGCACCTCTTGCCTTTGTTTATGCTGCCCCGTCATTCCATACTTAAAGCAACACAAGAGAAAATAAATTTCAGTTTCGCTGTGCTGCTTGTGTTCCCCGTACAGTAGGATTGTAAAAGATGGTGAAACCGCAGATGCGGGGTTAAACATTTGCGCCATATTCCTCAGACTAATTCTACCAATTACGGTATCCTGTGAGACAGTCTCAGTGGCATTTCGTCGCCTACCTTTTTTTTTTTTTAGATTACATGCAGGGACAGCACTACCAGTAGCCTTAGCTGTTGAAGGCTTTCAAGTAATAAACGCAAACACTAATGGTTTGTAAAGGTAAGTTCTTCAACGATGAGAATCAAGCTGCCCGCAGAGATTGCAAATGGCACGTGATTCGGCGGAATCATTGCGCTTGGAGCAAATAGGCTTTGAAACGAAAAAAAAAGACGTCCTTTGAATCAGCAAATATCTACAAGAAACAATCAATAGTGCGGTATCCCGCCGCGTCGTTCGCTTACAACGGGCTCCATGAGTGCATAGATCGCTGGCTGTGCGTGAGATGTTTGGCGCTTCTAAAAGAATTAAGGTCGTTTTCACAAGCTTTTGAAACAGGAGAATGTGGTGCTACAGTAAAAAAACGACTCACATCTTCCACAGAACCCGAGGTGCGGTCCTTCCAGCAAAAATGCATCAGCGAGTCCTCGCTCTGGTGAACGTAGACGGTCCCCTTGCGCTTGTCGGGGTGGACCATGTTGCCCTTACGCGTCATCTTGCCGGCCCGGAATTCGACGAGGTACTTGCTGTGGCTCTGACTGCCCGAGCTGGCACCGAAGAGAAGTCCCCTGGTCATCGTGAACTTCGTCGTTCAGCCACAAACTTTGAAAACAGGCGACAGAAATGACTCAGCGACCGCCTGCAGGTACAGCAAGTAAGTGAGCTTGCAGTTTTGGTCTGAACTTTTCTGAACTGCGTGGGTTTCGTATAAACAAGAACACACGTTTAAACTGTGTCGCAGTTTTTAATTGTAAATACTTAATAATATAAAAAATTTCAAAATTTTTCACAATATTTTATGCATGTGAGAATAGCTTGTAAAGACAATATAAAATACGACAATGCGGTTTTTACAAGAAGTAAAACGTCACGTCGTGCAAGGTTTGCTTTCTGCTTTCTCTCCCTTCGTCCGTCTTCGTTCCCAGTTTCTGTTTCTCGTAACTGTGATCGCTCCGGTTGTCACACATGGCGACAAACGGAAAAGTTTCAAAAAAGATCGACAATGTGGGATTTATAGGCGCCGGAAACATGGCCCAGTGCATCATAAGGGGCATCAAGAGCGCAGGTAAGCACGTGAATGGAGTCGATCACGGTAGAGCATTCATCTGGTCAAAATATTAGCGTGAAACTCTCTCTTTTCTTTTTTTCCTTTCGCTATTCAACTGACGCAGGTGTACCAGCCCAAAACATTTGGGTCAGTGCTCCATCCCTGAAGAACCTGGATGCGCTCAAGGTTGGTTTCTTGACATTTCAAACGATGAATGGCGAGTGCGACGGTCTTGTGCATCTTTCATCGCTTTCAAGCGGGAATTTCAACGCGACTTCACTTAATTTCGCTGAGATAAACGCTTTGTGCGAAATATTTGGTCGTTTTTTTTTCTTGCAGTTGCCTGGCATGGTTCAATCAGTCAGTATGCTTAGCCTTCACCAATCCATCTTCTTATATTTCTTCTTCCTCAGCCACCTGTCACACGTGTCGATGGTCATTTCTCGCCTACAGTTGGATGTCGCGGACTTCTTGCGTAACGTATAACAAAGTGCTCGCGTGGGCGGTTTGCCGGGAACCTTCCGCACTATGTGCAAACAAGTACCTTGATCGCGTAAGGCCTGTTTAGAGCGAATTAAAACGCGGCTGCGTGCGTTGGCAACCGCGTCTGCCGCTTAGCTTGAGAAGAGGGAAGAGCGGAAGGGGTAATTGAAGTGCGTGACCTCACAAGAGATCGAACAAAGAAAGGAGGAATGTATGGTGTGGACGTCACATTTTGGGAACCAGTATGCATGCATGCCATAATATTGTAGGAGAGCTCGACGTAGTGCCCTACCGCTCGCAGTTGGCAGATTGCCAAGCGGTGTCTGACTGTTTAAGATACCGTGTGAAGGCTTGCGAGTTTTCATTTCAAAAGCACGCGTTACTGATTTTCGATGACCGATAAATTTTTGCTGGATACACTCTTGCAGTCTGATTAGAATTGACATTTGAGAAGCCTCCATTGCGTAAAGCTGTCTTGCACCGCTCGATAACTTCGTGACATGGTGGTGAGAAGCATTTCATTTAAAAGTAAATAATAAAGTAATATTATTAGCAATCCTTTAAGTTAGTTGTAGCTATGTTTTACTGGATATGTCACCCGTGTTTACGCATACCTTGTTCATCCCTGATGTCATCTGATTTCCCAGGAGGAGGGATACAACACAACGCAGCGAAACGCAGAGGTACCCAAGAAGTGTAGCATCGTGTTTCTCTGTGTGAAGCCACACCTGATGGATGTTGTTGGTGGCGAGATTCAGCCGCAGTTGACAACCAACCATCTTGTCATCAGCGTCGCAGCGGCTGTCAAGATTTCTCACCTAGTCGCTGTACGTGTTCGCCGAGTAAACACTCTTGAAAATTTCGAAGTATGAGGAGTTCTAAACAGTAAAATGACCAGAGACGAAAAAAAGGGCATAAATCAGCATCAAGTTTCTCATATAATATTCACTTGAGGATCTTTACGCTGGCGTGTTCATAGACGCAGCTGTATGCTGTGTATATGCCTTTCTTTTAGTGCTGTACATTCTTATTTCTGCATGCTAGTGAACTCAAGAATATAGTGACGGTATATTTGGGTTTCATGCTAACCAACTGTAAGCTCTTGAAGTATTACTCCCAAATGCCAAGTATTACTCCCAAATACCTACATTCTATGCCAAGCACGAACTGCGAGAGGCTCCTATGTGCTGACACTAGCTGAAAATTAGTGCCCAATAAAGAAGTGAAGCGACTATACTAACCTATTCAGTTTAAACATAAGGAAGTGACATCCTAACAGACAGACAGTTGGTGCAGAAATTTTCGAGGATGCCATAAAGATTTGCTGCAAATTTCGTTAAAGGGAACTGTCGTATGCAAAGCATTGAACAGAGGGAAGCAGTGGCATAGCTGTACATACGTGTTACCTTATTAGATTGTTTTAAAACAAATAGCCAATGTTCACTATCATTCCAACTGTGCGAGTAAACATGCTAGGCTTTACTCCTATTGTATTTTTTCTTGAGTGTAGTATTTATACATAAGTTTGTATGTTGACTTGAAGTCAACGAAGATATTTAGCAGTTTTATCCATGAAAAAGATTTTTCTATTAGTATATTAAAAGTGCCTCCATTGGCATGGGCTGTTGTATATGGTACAAGCTAAGGCTAGTTTTGGCAGTATACATCACCATGGTTCGATGGTAAGGCCCATGGGGTCAAGATGCATCATTTAACAGTCTGGTAGCATGAAGGCCTACTATTAGCAGCTAGCATCGTTGGACCCAGTTTGAGCCAGTGCAGGCTAAATGGTGTTTTAAAGGGGCACTAAAGGGCACAACAATTTTTCACGTATTAGTGAAGCACATTTTCACATTCTTGAAAGAACCACTGTTAGCACCACCAGTTACACATTGTTGAAAGCCCACATGTGAGGTGTATGCATTAGGGAGTCGTGTACTTGCATAGCGAAAAAATGCATTAACACACACCTCCAACCGCCCGTTTCCTGCATTACAGATGCTCCGCGTGCCATGCCGAGTGGTTCGGTGCATGCCGAACACGTGCGTGACAGTGGGTGCAGGTGTGTGCGCCATCAGTCGCGGCCCTGGTGTGGATGCGGACGATGTTGCGCTGATCACCAACTTGCTGGGTAGCATCGGCATGTGCGAGGAAGTCTCGGAAAGCATCATGGACGCTGTTTGTGGACTCAGCGGTTCAGGCCCTGCCTATGTGAGCTCCCAGTGCATACTAAATTACACCTTGCATGGATCAGACTGCATTGCCCGGCACAAAACTGATGGCTTGACAAGATGTCGTATGGTTTGGTGAAATGTTTGTGTCAGAACCAAACACGGTACCAAACACGTTGAAGTCGCAGGCGATTAACGGTGGCTCATCAAAAATCACATGTGCTCCTAAATCGTCAAGCTTTGCAGTGTGAACGCCACTGTGTCCTCGCACGCACTGCCCCGTCAATTGGATAGTGATCCTTACCAAGAGCCTCTGCTCCTTCCTGCACATGCGGTCACCCTCGCATTCTTTAATACACGACTTCAGTCGCATCTCTAGATGTCTTGCAATGTTCTCGGATAGCGGCATAGACATCTATGTCAGTAATGTTGGTAAGACATTTCGTATTTTTCATTTGAACACCTCTTGTATGTGCAAGTCACTTTAGAACTACTGTAGCTCTTCGGGCAATAATGCTTTATTCCAATTATTTTACTTAGCTACTCTTGTGTCTGGCAAGCAACTGCTAGATTCAATAATGGCTGTCGCAAGTTCACTCATCACGATCAGCGCACAAAAACTAGCCTAATTTGCTACTTCACCTGTCGCAAGTTGCCTCATCGGTAATGAGTGGCCATGTTGATTGTCCATATCCTGCTTTGTCCCTCGGCTTCTCTAATAAAATGACCCTGTTTTCTAGTTGCAAATAATCAGTTTTTTTTTTAACACATCGGCTGAACCAATGGCAGATTGTGGTGTTCATTATCTATTTTCGGTGTGTTTGTTGCGTAAAATGGTGAGCAGCAGTCAACCACAACAGTTTTCAGGCTAGTTCAAGAATAACCAGGAGACGCTGAGCTCTCTACAAGAGTCCAATGACTTGCAGGCAGGTTGAGAGGGAGCAGCTGGAGAGAGTTCAGTAGAGGCAGATTGAGTTCAAAACACGAGTCAGTGGAGCAAATGATGATGCGTCATTCTCGCCCCCACTTGCTGCCCACAGGTATGCCTGGCAATCCAGGGAATGGCGGATGGAGCAGTCAAGATGGGCATGCCGAGACAGCTAGCACTCAAGTTTGCTGCACAAACCATTATGGTGAGCAGGAACACTGGCCCCACCTTTTTCCTTCTCTACTTGAAAGGTAGCATCTGGTCGTAATGTTGGCACATATAGCACACAAAAATACCTTTGTAACGTCTGGTACTGTCCTTTGTATGCATGCATTTATTACATGTCAGTGCCAGCATTGATACTTGAGAGCTTTGTTATGTTTGCTACTACTATTGCTGCACTTTTGTGAGAAGTTTATACATTTCATCACTTTTTTCATTATGTGCTCTTTTTTTTCTTGTTTCATCACCATTGTTCTGCTTACCAAGATCAAATGTTTGCAATCTTGTATTTACTTTGTAAACTGCTCAGCACTTTGAAAGGGCATCATATGAACAACCGCCATGTATGAACAATAAATCATTTCGGCTAGCTGCAGCCATTGGAACTTCGTGCAATTTCGTATCTACACATTTTTAATGAATGCGGCAGTAGTCACATTCTAGATGACCGTTGCATCACAGCTGTGCGCTACCATAAATGATTTGTTGATCTATGTTTCTCCACATGAAAAGCACACTGAAAAGCCAACCAAAGCTGCACTTATATTAAAGAGCACAGATACGAGAGAGTGCAAGTTACCAACTGCCCAGATGAAGGCTTAACATCCATCTAAGACGGCTATTTCAAGCTGCCTTCTTTTTAGTCTATGAAACAGATGAACGACGATATTGATGCCACTATACGGGACATTCATAGCGGCACTAAATTCCTGTGATCTTTTGACAGGGTGCCGGCAAGATGGCTCTCGACAGTGGCTACCACCCGGAGGAGCTCAAGGACAACGTTTGCTCACCAGGGGGAACCACGGCCTACGGTCTATCGGCCCTGGAGAGTCGCTGCGTGCGTGCCGCCTTTGCCGAGGCTGTCGAGGCTGCCACACGCCGTGCTCAGGAGTTGGGACACAAGGTCGAAAGCAAAGGCACTTCCTCGAACTGACTCTTGTGTGGGCTCACTTTCGGACACAGCACCCACAAGTTCCTCTCCGAGCGTGTGGTGGGGGTGAACTCAAACAAAGACTTTGTCAACGCTCAAAGGAATTTCGTCAAGCCCAGCCTGCTTTGCAGTGTCAGAACTGGCTGTGCTGCAGTACCTGCCGGATGTACCAAAAGCATTTAATACTTCACAATTACAATCGCGATGCCAGAATCTGCACAGTATTCAGACCTTCTTTAGTGTGCTTCTTTTCCTACTGGTATGGTGCAGCTGGCAAATAAAAAGCACACAGATTCGGGGACAATATTGCTTGCTCTGAAGAGGTTCGGTCAGACTTGAGACTAAGTATGAGGCACACACAGTCTTGAGAGTCGATACGGGAGCTTTCACTATTGATGTCCATACTGTTGCTATCACAGCGTTCCTGTACTACTTAAACGTGTGCTCAAGCAGACAAGGATCTTGTGAAACTAAAAGAAATCTAGTGATAGGTTTAGTGACTATGTGCATACATTTGAGCCAAACAAGCATATGGTATACCGTATACCATAGGTTACTTGTTATGATACTTTTGTGATAGCTGTGCTAGAGTGCACGCTTTGACTGCTTTAACTGAGCTTAATGTTATTGCATGCGCAGTGTAAAGTGTTTCAAAAGTGTCCATCGTTAAGCATTTTGTTAAACATATTTTTCCTAAAATTAAACTACACTAGTGAGCAAATATGTACCTTGTTTTTGTTTTATATGCATGTCTGTTTGAGTAGTAATCTGCAGAAGGCACCAGCCGTCTTTAAACTGCAGTAGAACCAATTTGTGCCGTTGTGCAATGTCTGGTAAAAGATGAAATAAAAAGTAACCGATAGTATTGCGATTCGTGTCTTCCAGTCATTGGCTCAACAAAGCAGTGTTGCACAGATGTAGACACAAAGGGGACTCTCCATCAGATTATTCTCTCACTTGTCATTCTAACGAATTCTTTCCCGACTGCCCATACAGCATATCCACAGTGAAGGTGTGCATTACTAAAAAATTGAGCATTTATTAAGCGCACTGTTGTCCTTGCTGTATGGCCAGACCGCGAGCTAAATGCCAATCCCATTCACATTGCTTCATTTAAAGTGTGCTTTGGTTGCTTTGCATTGGTCGAAATTTTTCCTCCTGCTGCATTTCCTGTAAGCTTCCTCATGTTGCAGTACTCGCGACAAGTTTGTAGGTTTATGGGTTTTACGATCCAACGTGACTCGGGTTATGAAAGTGGATTGCTGAGGGCAATTTCAACCACCTCTCGTTAACATGCACAGACATAGCACAATTCACAGGCCTCATGCATTCAGCCTCCATGAAAACGGGATTGCTGCAGCCCGGATCAAACCTGTGTCTTTTGAGTCGGCAACTGCGCAACTATAATCACTGAGCCGCTGCAGCATCTTTCAGTACTCGCTATACGTGCAACTCGCAGCGTTTGGCAGCAACTACGGTAGTTCAATGCATTACTGGCAACCAGTTACATTTTTGAAGGGGCCCAGAAACACTTTTTTGAGTAACCATGAGAAACACTTTTTTGAGTAACCATTCACTGGCAAAGCATGTTACCTCACAAATTGAATGCCGCAAAAATTTTGAAAAATCCGTTGCAAAGATTTGTCACATGCTGCAATCGCATTCTCTCGTCCCAATGAAAGCGCTGGAAGCTAAGCAGAGAGGCATGGGAGGGGCAAACGAAAAACGTCACTCGCATCTCGCGACCTTGAGCTCTTTTTTTTTCGAACACACGGCTTTTTCGGTGCCATCGTGCCGGCACGCGCGGACGGCACCGAAAAGCGACGGCCTCTTGCGGCTACCTCTGTAACAACCGAGCACGCCATGTTCAAATCAGCCAATGGCTGATAGATGGGCTTGCTACGAGTGACCTTTGGGCTTATTCCGACATTTGTCGACAGAAAGGTATTTTTAGCTGACTTTGATCATTTATTGTGAATTCCAGGCTGCATGCTGCGCTATAACATTTGACTCGCGTGTTGTCGCGAGCCTCTCCAACCGATCGGCAGCGTATTCTCACCATGCTCAAAAAGTGTTGCAGGGCCCCTTTAAGTAAGCTCTAACTGTAAATATCCAATTTCTCACTCAAAGGACTAGCAGCTGTAACACTGTTACCTTTTTTAAACAGCTAACTTTAAGCAATATTGCTAACAAGTAAAATGTGTGGTTGTGTCTAGCAAATAATGACACTTTGTAGATTAAAGACAATGTGCAGGAGGTAGATAATGCTATGCATATTATCACAAAATAAGACATCCCCCATGAATCTAGATAAAAGATAAAATATATTGCTGTGTTACATTTTAATGACATTTCTTACCATACAAATAATGGAAAAATGATTTTACTTGATCAACGGCAGCAAACACTTTTACATTGTTGAAACTTCTAACTATCAGTGTGACAGGGCTATTTTTCTCTACCGGCAAAAAATATAAGTAACAGCAACACTGCTACTTCTTGCGGGTAACATCTCTTCCACTCATCACTTCCTCAAAAAAACAAAAAAGCACATTTGCTGAACCGCAAACGCATGATCTACGTTCTGCTTTGAGAACAGGCCATGCGAATGAAGGACACAAGAGGTACCAAGAATGTATATGGCATATTCACAATATATTTCTTTTATTTCTTACAAAAAGAAGAAAACAATATGATTACACTAATCTGATATTTTCTTTTAGACAATGAATACAAGAACTTTCTTTTTTGCTGAATTAAGCAACACAACTATGCTTTTCACCAACAAAAAGAAAGGCGCATGTACATTTTTTGTGGCAATGTGCAAGTCTCGGCTGTGGAAAGAGCGTGGGTGTTGCAAACTAAGGACAAAGCATTATCGCCTTCTTTTATCTTTTTTGAAACCTAACTCTCGGAAATAAGCTCGTCCCACTCATCAAGATAAGCCAAGAGTTGCACATTGCCATGACAAAACGCTTCTTTGATATCTGTTGTCATGTGTGGGTGTGCTTTATGAATTATTTACACTGGACTGATTCTGCCTTCATTAGCGACGGGGTGGGCACACATAAACCCGCACTGCCACTTGCTGAAATGTACAACTGACAGCCAATGCTTGCTGTCACAATGAGTAACGAGTCTTTCATTAACGACCCTCCCACCTATACTCCACGGCGAGTGTTCCTTCTCACTGCTTCGAGCTTCAATACCATCAATACTTGCAAGAGCTTTCGCGGCACAGAAACACATAGCGTAACATTTTAATCTAAAAAATGAAAAACGCACAAATGCGAGCACACCTTTCCAAAGTACTGAGAATATTAACACAAGCCAAGTGCTCTGTGGAGCTGTGGAAACACCCCTCCTTGGAGAGCAGAAGCGACAACACCTTTCTGGCAACACAGAACTGACCATACGAAGAACAAAGCACCACCACATCTTTGCTGCGGCGTCAAATAATGTCATAACTTTAAAACAGACTCCTTTTTTTCCTGACAGGAAACAACTGCTTAAAACGGGGAAATTGGATGCCACCTCTTCCAAGTAATGTTACAGGTTTCCTCAAACCACAACCCCATTGATTGATATGTGGGGTTTAACGTCCCAAAACCACCATTTGATTATGAGAGACGCCGTAGTGGAGGGCTCCGGAAATTTCGACCACCTGGGGTTCTTTAACGTGCACCCAAATCTGAGCACACGGGCCTACAACATTTCCGCCTCCATCGGAAATGCAGCCGGGAAAACCACAACCCCATGCTGCGCTCATTTTGAACCCTCTCGATTGGGTCCGATGATAGATTAAAGCAATCTGTCAAACACACAACAGTGCACATGTCGTGATAAAGAGGCTGTTAGTGTCAAGTCATCTCAGTAGCTATCCCGAATGTTACTTTACACCCATACTCCCTTTGCCACACTGTTGTTTTTCTGCAAATTCTTGGAGCATTAACATAACACATCACGGCTCCATCGCACGCAGCATACAACTCAGCATTCATGTAATGTACTCCCCTAATAGAATAAGTGTTTGCACAAAGACAAATCAGACTACATGTTCCAGAATGCGCATTAATGAGCACGAACGAGCTTAAAACACAGACCACAAAACATATGGCAATGGGAGGCAATTTCTTAAAGCCTAGCTATGCAAAACATAGACAGTGCGTAGGCAAATCGCATCAGTCTTCAAATGTATCCAACATACGACAGTCATATTTCCTGCTTTGTTTCAAGTGTCCACGCTCAGCACTCTACTGTTCCAAAACAATAAAGAAAGCTTGCAATCAATGCAGTGCACAAGCTCGCTGCAAATCAACATGGCAAGAGATATGGTTTCAACAGTTCAATAAAGGAAACCGTAATCAGCAAATTTCAAACGCTACAGATTCATTCTCCGATGAGTCGCCCGTGCAATTACGAAAAGAGCACGGCTGCTTTGGGACAGAAATTGCAAGATGAATGAAATCTCCGAAAACGTTTAAACACAGAAAGAGGTGCCACAAAAACCAGGCACGCACAAACACAAAAGCCTCTTCCTTAGCCCACGATCACCTTGATATTACCTATCGCAGCCGTAACCCGTCGAATCAGCACGGGGTGACCACACAATGACGCTTGCTGAAGACACACAACACCCAAAAGTAAAATGAATTGTGCCAGAGACCATGATTGATGCAACGGAAAGCTACAGTAAAGCCAGTGCTGTCGTAATGCCCCAACCAGGACAAGTGACTGCCTGCAGCAGCAACATACGACTATAAAAGCACACACGATAATGGAAAAACTGTTAAAAACGTTCAACAATCACAGACCAGTCTGTCCACTGCAAGTAACTGCAAATGCGTTGCTCCCTGTTTTCAGCTCAAGTGGCAGCAATACAATGCCAGTACTTTGGTCAGCTGGATTTCTATCGATTAAATTAAAGAGACACTAAAGGCAAATAATAAGCTGATGTGGACTGCTGAAATAGAGGTCCAGAAACTTTGTAGTGCAACTTTCATGCCAAGGAAACGCTCACATTGAAACAAAATCACGTTTTAGTGGTCCGCTCAGTGTTAGCACACTTTAAATCACCTGCCTGAAAATGTACCTCTTGACGTAGCACTTGCCTCGCGCAGTGTCGCCCGCATTTACTGCACGGCTGCTGGCGCTAGCAGCAGCAGGGCTAAAGTAGCAGGAGGCACAGCAACAACAATGGCCATCGAACAATTTTTAGCTTGCTTGGTTCAATTAGGCCCTGCTAGATGGCACCACCTACCCAGCCTAACCAGGCAAAAATGTAACTTTTGAACCACTCGCGCCATTCCCCATATTAATGTCCGGCAGTTCTTTTTTCTATAAATCAAACAGAAACTGACAAGAAACATTTTATTACGTCTCTTGATGCACAGAAGGTTCTTTTTTATAGCAGCTAGTTCAATTACTATTGATTAAATGCAGTCGCTTTGACATCATTCGAATCATTTCCAAAATGTTCCACTCGTAGCGCATGTGGTGTCGTATATTTAGCTTATTTTTTCAATTAGTTCACCACTTCTGTTGTTAATGTTGCTATTTTAGACATTACATTCCCAAACAATCATCTTTCACTTTGACACAAATTGTTACCTGCCTTTAGTGTCCCTTCAAGTCCATAGGTGAATGGGCCGCTGTTCAAATACACAAGTGCTAGACAATCCAATACGCTCTCAACGGACAAGAATAATGAGAATACTCGGCGTTTTTAATGGGCGTCACTAGACAATGGGCGGCACCCTCTACTTTTTTTCCGAATGCAATACAATTTTTTTTTTTTCAAGAAATGAAAGTGTTTTGAGCGTATCCAACAGAAGTGAAAATTCTACAGTTCTCCAATTTAATTACGCTTAGACAGGGGCAGAAAAACCTTTATCAACTATCAACACGATCCCCCACAACGGCGTGGCCGGCTTCTCGCACCCTTTCAAGAAAGTTCCAAACTCGCACACTACATCGACAGTCCAAACATTCCAGCCTGGCAAGCTCTGCGCAAGAGGATGTCTTGCGCGTTATATTGATAACAGTCTCACATCATTATCAACCAGCAAATTTACATGCGCAGTAGATGTTTTGCAATGTACAAGAAGATTGGTGAAAAAGCGTGGCCGTAAAAAGTATCCCCCCTCTGACACGACGATCAAGAGACGATGCAGACCCGCACAAAGCACAACAGCCCTCCTAGAATTTCGCTCGCGATTTCTGTCCGTTGCACAATCGTGAGACCCCTCGCACTTTCGCAAGATTTGGCGAGTCGTTGAATGACTTGAGGGCTCATCCCAGCCGGCGCTGACATCTTGATAAAAAAAGACTTGATTTAAACTTAGCTTGCATAGTCTCATGCAAAATATATGTGAAGACTAATGTAAGTGCAGGAGACAACTCTTCACAATCGACAAAGGCAACCATTTGTGCCGTCTTACACAAAATCTTGGAACAACAATATCTGCATATAAAGACGTAAAAAAAAGCATGCTTGCGACTAGACCAAATATATAGTTGCTTTGTTTATGGGGATTTCGTAGCGAAGCACTTACAAAATGAACTGTGGAGCAAAAGCACTTTCATTTTGATCAAAAAAGGCCGTTAGCAGAACCTTTCAAGAAAAACTCGTTGCCCTAAGCAGGGGAACAATTCATGATTCCAAACCATAAACATTAAGGCCAACATTGTCCGAGGGCAACAAATTCGAGCAAAAGAAAGGGCAAAAAATTAGACAATCTAAACATGCACACAAGCGAAAATGTCGACAGCAAGGACAGGAAAGAGAATGGTGACAGCCGGCTGCCCAGCCGTAGTTGAAGACATGTAGGTTGCACATCAGTGCTGGTCCTGAGAACTCGACTATGTCACGATGCGAAACTTCACTGAGGAAGCACCTTAAATGAAATGGTACTGCATCCATTAGCGTTCCTAGTTGACTTTGACAATGCCTACAGACAACAAAACATTATTGCGAGGTTAAAAAAAAAAGAAAATACGTATGAAGGCAGAACTTGCATCTACGAAAGCGTTACTCTCAAACCCTTCAAGTGATCTAAAATGCCACTTTCCATCATGCTGCCAGCGTTCACGAATGCTCGGGCAGCTTTAGACAAATGCAGAGTTTTGTAATCGAGCACAGTAAACTTAGAATGCCAGGCTTGCCACAGGATTGCAAACTGGAAAGAGATCAATGATAATAACCTGGCTTCCGTGCATTTCTGTTTCTTCTTAAGAACGCAAGCATCCGCAGAGGTTTGTTGCAGAAAAGGTAAGGAAGTTGAATTCGGGTGGATCTGGCGCAGTCGGACCACCACTGATGGCAGACTTCTAGGGCAGAGTTGCCACTACCATCAGCCGGTCCATACAAGTGTTCAAGCTAATTAGTTACTGCCACTTTAGCAAGCTTTAGATTTAGCTTGTTTTTGATGAATGTCATTGTCATAATAAATGCGGCACTACACAAGCCTATTTTTCTTTGGCCCTTTCTTCAATGCTTCATCTCCTCCCTCGTATACACTAACTTGCGTACTGAAACCTTCAGAGAAAGCGTGAGGGATGACAGCTATGGTAACTAATAAAGGAATATCGTTAACAAGCTGTCTAGCTAAGACGCACAGTGAGTTCTATACTGCCTTGTGACTGGTTTACAAAACCCCTCAGTGACTACCACATAAAACAACCAGATAACTGCACGGGAACACATATGAGGTCATTCATCGGTCTGGCAGACAGCACACATTCTGGGGCCAGTGAAGCGGAAATGACGTGCTGTGACGATGCAAAAAGTGCAAAGCAGCCAGAATCAAATGCGACAAACAAACGAAAACATCGATGCATATGTCTGATTTTTACAAGACCCTTTCCCCTCTCAACTTAAAATTTGCGAGTCGCATACAGCAATGAATTAAAAGCACAGTCTCGTGATCATTTAGTGGACAGTCCGGGTTCACAGAGGAGATGTGAAAGAAAAACTGCTTTGATTGGTAAATGGCCCCACATTTGTCTGACCTATCTTTTTTTTCTTTTGCCCCACCCCCATCAAAGCCTGCTAATGTGTGCCAGAACACTGCATAAGTGTGACATACCCTCTCAAAGGCCTCAGGCAAGCAAAAGCCATGCGGCATGCAATCGCAGAAAATATCCCTCTTCTTTTTTTTTTTTCCCCCTCGAGCTACTTGTCTGCTCACAGAATTTGCTGATGCACACCGATGTCACCGGCAAAGGCGGCGATACTTTTTAAATGCTAGCAAGGGAGGTCGTGTTAAAATGCCAATCGCCGGAGAGAAGTAGTGCTAAACGAATTGCTGCATTTCATCGGACAATGACACACACACGTGTTCATGCAAAGCAGAAGAAGGTGGAACAAAAAAGAAAGATCATTCACCTCCTACAAGAATGCAAAGCCACTGTCGTCAAAAATCCACGCATTGCCATCTATGTGACGAACAACTCGATTGCAACTTCTCTCGCCAATAAAAAAAAAAAAAAAAGCAGGTGACAAGACCCTCTCTATCTCTCTTTTTTTACGCAGGTGTTTCATTTACCCCGCCAGTCACACTGTTCCGCAAAACAAGCGCAAAAGTTCTGCGGAAAAGTTAAAATTCTTTTTGCTGGTGGCAAATGCGAGAGACAAAAGAGCGGGGAAAAGATGAACATGCACCAACCAAAAAGATTTCCTGCCTGGGTGTTGGTTTGTTTCTGCCAGGTTGCACATCGCGCGTGCTCTCGCAATGCCGAGTCGAGAGCTCTCGGTCCAATCAATGCTTACACGCGCGCTCTGGGACACCGTAGCAGACCGTGCGCGAACTTTCGGTGCAAATTTCTTTTCGTTCCTCGCCAGGAAAGGCGGCCGGAGGAAGTGTCCACGTCCGTGGGTGATTGCACTGGCGTTGTTTCGCGCACATGATGGTGGGGGGGGGCGACAACACAGGAACCGCAAACGAAGAGATGTTGGGAGCAGGGGAAAGGGGGCATTTACATGAGGCAGCATCAGCGTGTCCATGAGTGCTCTCTTAGAAATGGGGTGTGTTGGTGATGACGGAGGAGGAGGGGGAAATGCTGTCTCGGTGACGGAGGGGAGTGAGAAGAGATGGCCATGGCGGGGTTGGCGGGCTAGAGCAATGACTGCTCGAACTTGGGTCCTTTCTCGATGTAGAGCTCGGCGAAGGCGCTCTCTTGCCGCAGCTCGACGGCCTGCTGCTTCTTCAGCACCAGGAAGGTGTAGAACTTCTGCGCAACCTGCAACGACAAAACGCAGTGCACGGAGCACTATAGTTTGGTGTCGCAAGCATCTGTAAGCATTGCCAGTGAAAGCTTAACAGTCAAAGAAAAAGGTCGTCATGAAAGGGCTGTCATTTGTTGTAGCATGCAATTGTATCGTGAAGTTGACAAACGTCAAAAACTCAATGATAGCACAGTTAAGCAAGATTCTGTTATTTTCTCCTTTCTATGTTTTCCACCTTGGAGATTTGTGTTAATAATATATTCTACCTCTGATGTATCGGGCCCAGATATATCTGACGCAGACAAGGAGGGTTGCCGAAAAGTCAGCTCCTACGCAGTGGCTGCAGGTGGTTGCTTCAGCATAGTGGAACACGCAGCGATTGTGGCCACCACCAGCTGGGTGCACTGTTTCGCTAACCTAGTTAAGGAGTGCTTTTGCGTTAAAAAAAGCCCTGTGGTGGTTACAATATAAAACATTTTTAGCATGGCATTGCATCAATTTTTTCTCTGTTTGGAGTGAAGGAACATGTTAGATGGGCGCAAATGTTTGCTTTTCATTTATGCATGCCCGTAATACAGTTGAGCCCAGATATGACAGCCCTACTTGCAGGGAACTCTCGCTTAAAACAAATAATACCCGCATGACCATGGAAATGTACATTATTTCAATGGCACAAAATCGCACTTACAACGAACGTCTCTGAGCGTCGTCGATCAGTTAAAGCTAACGAAGTCGGCGCTCCAGCGAATCCCGGGAAACCACTTTCAACCAAACTATCGGCGAGGTGCCCATAGATTCTTATTGTTAAACACTGACCCTACCTCTGCAGCCCTCCAGTTGTCGCTTACCCTGACAACTATTTACTACACGCCCGCTCCATCCTTTGTCCCCGCCGCTACACTGAGCACCTTGCATTGCCAGACGAGGCCTGCGGTTTCATACTGCCACCGATCTTTCGAATACCGGTCGGCCAACTAGACTCTCCTCAGATTTTGATCTTCAGTTTTGTTACACTATCATTGGCGTTGCCAGCCTGGGGTGACCAGGCCCTTTGCCATCATCGTTGGCCATCTACTGTACCCAATCAACTGCGTCTGTGTCTCGTCTAGATCAGTATGGTATCGTTCCAGCGCAGACGCTCGCACTACCCCACGAACATAGATAATCCGAGATTTGTTCGATGTTTAGGAACTGTTCTCGCTCACTTTGAACTCGGCTCAGCATGCCCTCCACACATGTTTGGAAGCGTAAGAACTAGGCTTATGCAAATAGTGAATTTTAGGTTTGAATGATATATTGATTTTGGTCGAATAATTTCTAATCGAGTTCGAATACCGTCGAACTCCGCTACAACGAACACTGCTTCAATGAAATTTTTGCCACAACGAAAAAATCACGATTACCCGTCAGCAGTTCATAGGAGTCCATGCATAAATATTGTCGCCCACTTTTTTCTCTATCGTCTCGCTTGAACGAAATTTGCAATTCCAGGCTCAGATACTTATTGCTATGCAGTCAACCCAATCTTTAACATTCAAATGCATTTTCAGAGCCTGGAAATGTGTCAACGAATTCTAAAACACGCGTTGGCACCACCAGAAACCAGCCGCTATACCGCCGCTGTTCAGCCAGCATGGGCACCGCCATTGCTCGATAGTGATGACAATGAGACTGCCCTGATTTTCTTTTGCCACTGGCTTGCTTTCGAGCCGCAGACGATCCGAAGCTGAAGCTCAGTTCATGATTTCCTTCTCGCAGCTGCTGGGTGCAACCGCAGCACAATGTCTTTTCCGATTCCGATGCTTATAATCATGTTCGCGCTTGGTCAGTGAGGGAACTAATCAGAGCTGCTGTTCGTCCGCATTATTAACAAAATCAGCTAGCCGCAAGTGATGCACGATAAGAATGGCATAGAATAATGCAAAAGTCACCGCTCCAGGATACCCTCCCTCCATCTCGGCGTTGTCGGACACTTTTGACGACGGACAGCTGCTGGTGTTAATGTGTTAATGCAACTGTTTTGTTCATTCGCCAAAGCGGTTTTAGGCGTTGTTTCAGCGTGCTTTTCACCATGGCCTCGCTATGCGTAGGTGAGAATCACGTCGTGACGCTGATGGGAAAGAATAAGAAGCAGCGGACATTTCTTTGAATCTTGAGAATTAACATTCCTTTGCTTTGCTAGCTCAGATCAGCGATATTTTTTTCGATTTCCCGACAATGAAATTTTCCCTTCAATGAAAATTTTTAGTGCCCCATCAGTTTCATTCCACTGTAACACATATGACGTAGAAAGGAAAATGGGCATGTTTAACATGACCTAACTTGCACAATATTTTTTTTATTTGAAATAAGGCCTCTATGCAAATTTGTCTTTTTTTTGTTAGAAGTCATAACAGCTTTGAGTAGCAGAAGTATTTGACTTTCAGAAGGATAAAGTGGTAACCTGTAAAATATGTAACATTTTAAAATTTATTAAATTTAGTGCATGTAAGCTGGCATAACAAGCTTTCAAGCTGAAAAAAAAAATGATGAATCGATTTGAGGATAGTATGTTCATATAAAGGGGTTCTGCAGCACTTTTTCAAGTAGCCATGAAATGGATTCAATAAAAATACGTACTGCCTCACGAATTCACCGCGACAAAAATATTTAGAATCCGTCCAGTATCAGCAAGGTTGCAAAGATTTATTACATACTGCGATTGCATTCTCTTTTCTCATCCCGATGAAAGCACTGGAAGCGAAGCTGGGAAGGATGGCATGGAGAAAGAAGATATGTCATGCGCTCCTCATGCCCTTAATTAAGTGCTTTTTCTCTCTCTCTTTTTTCGCGTTTTCGTTTACTTCGACCCTGATCTTATGTAGTTAAAACACCAGAAGACCACAAAGTGCTGTCACTCAGACTTGTCCGAACTTGACTCCGATGACGTCGGTTTCACACTAGTTACGTCCCAGAGTGCATCGTCTTCCGTTCCATCCAATGCGTTGCTGATGCAGCATTTGTGAGAAGACTTTCGGTCTCTTTCAGGAGAGATTTCCATGCTGACGATACCCTAGCTACAAACGGTAGCTAGCGGCGGACGTCGTAGGCAGCCAGGGGGGGGCATTCGGATTGTCGCCCAGCATCCACTCATTGTAGATCTCACACACACTATCTTTGAAGGGTTTATTGAGCACTATGTCCAGTGGCTGGAGGATTGATGTTAAGTGCCCCAGGGATCACGACAAGGTCCATCTTGCCATCGGACAGAGGTCCCTTTACATCGGCCGTGAGGTTGCCTCAACATGAGTCGAGCACGAACATGCTCAGTCGCTAAAAAAGCACACCAGGTCGCCGATTCCACATGAGCCGGATCCACTCAAGCATGAGGGACTCATTCATGAACCCTTTTCCGTTTGCTCTCATGATAACATCCCGGGAAAAGTCTTTTTCTGGTAGCCCTTTTCTCTTAAAAATTATATAAAGGAGCAGCTTCTTTCTATCGGCTGTGCACGAGAGCATCACTGTAAATCGCGAATGCTCATTGGCCATTGTCAAGAGCTTCACTAGCTTACATCCTTTAGTGGTCACAGTCCGGTTCGAAGGCATATCGAATCAGATCGGAGTTTCGTCAGCAATGCCCATGTGTCCCATCACGTAGCAATGCTGTCGATGAAGCCCGATGACGAAGCGCTGATACTCAATCAGCTTGTTATCGAATACTTCGGGCAGTTTTTGGCACACAAAAGTTTGCGGCCTCAGTGCAATGCCCTTCCACGTCGTAAATCGGCGCACCCACAATGGCGAGCCCTTGAATTGCGCCCTCGTGAGCTCAGATTCGCGTGCTATCTTGACAGCTTTCACACGGGTGCACTCGACTGTTATGGCTAGCGACCTGGCACGCAGCTCCGGGACGAATTCGACGAGTAGCGTTTCCAGCTCAGGGTGCACTGCAGTTCGTCCACGAAACAATTTTTTTTTTTAATTGCTGCAAGATGTGACGCGCTGCTTTTGGCTTCTCTAGTATCGGATGCTTTTCTTCAACACGTCTAATTCCCGTTGTGCTGCCAGGTTGCCGTGCGCTTCGGCATACTTAATAAACTTTTTCTTAAAGCCTATCGTAAACTGCCGTCAACTAGCACTCATTTCTGAAAAAAATTTTTAAAAAGCAGCAGACTGACAAATATAGCCAAAGCAAAATAGCATTGCTAGTACAGTGTAGGCCTTGCCTAGCCTAGCCCAACAGCGCTGCTGTCGATGCTCACGATGGCAATGGAGGCTTTTGACTTCAGCTGCCCATTGCTCCAAGACTTCTACATTTTTTTCTGCCAACGACCGATATATAGGATGAGGTTCGACTTATCATTGCTATTTTCCTTTATTTCGACCTATATTCTGTTTTTTTACGGTAATAATTCAGCTTTCACGTATCCTAGGTAGACTTAGAGCAGCAAATTTGTAAATTAGCACTCTTCACAATCTCATGAGATTTCACGGGATGCACCAGGTTTTTAGATAAGCTTCACGCGGGAATATTTTGTGCTGCAAATTATCAACATGGTAGACTCTCAGTTAAATAGAACCTGAAAAGATAGGCAAAACACATTCAGTTTAGCGGGAGTTCCACTCACTGAGTATTGAACAGGGTTGCAGCACTTGAAACTAATCATATTAGAGGCGGTTGATTGATATGTGGGGTTTAACGTCCCAAAACCGATATTAGAGGCGGTTCCGTTTAGGTTAAGAGACCTTCTATTACAGGTCAAGTGTATATTATAGATCGTTTATAACGTAAATCTGGGGACTTGCGTAATATCAGCACTATAAGCGGTACTGCACTACAACTAAAACAACCTTTTTCAGGGGCCGCCATTGTGCAAAATTTGTTGAGCAAGCCGCCTCGCAAGTTCGTGAATCGAGGCATGCAGTGCGTGGTGCTTACAACCTTTATATTTCAGAATGTTCATAAAAAAAAAAGAATTTTACATGAAAGAAACATGTTGCCAACGAATTGAACATGAAAAGGGGGGCAGGGTTCAACAAGAGAAAGTACCATCATGAAAATTCAACGACTGCTTCTCAGACCGCCTCGATTACGTGCATTACACATAATGTCGAATCGTGCCCGAAATTTCACTCTGTGAAAGACACCTATCATTAAATTTCACGGGCGCACACCCAATTACAAGACGTCGTTACTGAATCCCAAACCACCATTCGATCGCGACACATGCCACCCTGGTTTTCATAACGATATGTATCCCTTCTCGTCAAGTGCAGCCATTGCAAAGAGTTTCGTTCATTCCATGCCAATATGATAGCACGCAATCCAACGGCAACCAATGCCGATTAGGCTGATTTACACAACAAGGCTTACACGCCAATTTACACAACAGGGTTGGTTTACACGGCGATTTGCACAACAGGGTTAAGACTGCAAAGAAGGGATGCCCCGAAAGTGCAGCCCATGGGACAGGACAACATACCTGCTTGCGATTGCTGCCTCGTGCAACATCACTGAAGCGCACTTGGCGACCTGCCTCAAGTGGTGACCGGATCATGTGCAGCATGTGCACAGTGCGCTTGTTCAGTATCCGCTCTTCGAACTGCTCGTACGTCTCGTCGGCCAGCTGTTCCTCGGCCTGCAAGAGAAAGAGGGCAAGACGTCGCGTCAACTCTGAGATTTCCTGTACTGCAACAGCTAGGGTGGTTCATTTTGCCGAGAGACTCGTCAATAATTATTAAGTAAGCAATAAAAGAAGAGTCAAAACCGAAACGTAAACAAGGAGCTGCTCTGTGCTGGGTATGAGATGTCTCAAAGTATGCTTCACACTGCCACAGCTAGACAAGGTGTAACCATAGCACACTTGCCTCTTCTATCGCATGAAAACCAAGCTGGCGATGTCATCCCACGTGGAATCAAGTTGTGCCAGCCTGTCTGAACTTACCAGCGACAATTCAGCGATTCTTGCAGCTACTATCTAGAGCGCGGAAGCATCGTCTTTTGATTTAGAGACTCCGGAGTGTAATGTAGACGATGTACTCCGCATCGATCTCCACGGTGCTCAATATTGAGCATGCTAACTGTAAGACCTGATGTCAACAATAAGTAACACGCTATGCAGCAAAGAAAGCTGTGCTCACATCGTTGCCGCGTAAAACAAATCTGTCTGCTGGACGAAGCTGGGTTGGAGAAGAGCAGGCATGTTACACATGAAGGCCACGTTTACAGCCGTGATTTCGGAATTGGCTACGAATTTTTAAAATCCATTTTCTGAAAAGCTAGATGACTTCGTTGTACAGAGAGAAATAAAAAGAGATAAATATGGGAAATAAAAGGTTAGAAAGACACCAAAAAGAGATTAAAAAAAAGAGAGAGTATGACATAAAAAAAATGAAAGCGAAAGAAACAAAATAGAGTTAGAGTGAAAAGAAGCATAGCATAGCCCTGTATAGTATAGTATATGTCAAGGGGTGGGAGAGGGAAGCGAGGCTGAGGGGAGAATAACGCAACCAGTTGCACTCTCTTGCTCTGTCTTCACGCCAATAGTGCATAGCTGCCCTAATCTTTCTAGGCCCCGTTCCTGCTATGAGTGGTGCCACACTAGACAGGCATTCATTTCTTACTGAATGTAGACTGCGTACCTACATACAAAATGGTCATATAGCCAGTTCCTTCTGAACAATGAGCGACACCTAAACAGCTGTGCTCAGAATTCGCACTAGGCACAGTCATAATCGTTGGTGATTTTTCGTTTAGTGAAAATAAAACAGAACAAAAACGAGTTTCTTGTGTAACTGAATGTTCAATACACTGAGACAGACATCCAACTCAATGGTACTCTGCCACAGAGTCGATTTGGGAGCACAACAGCAATTATAAAAGCATAATTACAGATAGTTCCACACAACTTATAGTCACAACCATGCGAAGAATGAAATACAGGTCGGTAGACGCTACATGGAAGCTCGATGATCTGCACTCACTGGTCCGACAGACGCGGGAGGCCCGTAGTCCTCATCGTCGTCGTCCAGCTGGGCCAACTGGTCCTGCTGTTGCTGCTGCTGGTGCTGCTGCTCTTCAGCTGACGTGTGGGGCTCTGGCTGCGGCTCTGCCTGGGGCTCTGGTTCTTCTAAGTGATGCTGCTCAACTGACGTTGACTCCATGGGTGCCCCGAAACCGTGCAGCCCAGAACTCGACGCCACCAGGGCGTCAAATTCAGATGGCGGAGCTAGGGGTTGGTCCATGCTTGGACTTTCCTCCTGTGCTGGCTGCTGATGCTGCATCTGGGAGAGAGAACGGTACAGAGAAAGCTCGTCAATTAACATTCAATAGACCGCGAGGCCGTCCCCCTCCCACCTCTGGAAGTGACAGGGCTGGGGTGCAGGGTTCGTACAGGCTTGCAAAGCGAAAATTCAAGGATATTCAAGGACTTTTCAGGACCTGTCGCAAGTTTTTCAAGGACTCAAACCACCATGCTCAGTTTGAATTTTTCACTCTAAAATTTTCGAAAAATAACCAATTTTATTGCACTTACAATAAATGAATATCGCATTTATAAAAAAAAGAGCGTAGTCGTTATAACTTCTCCCACCCTCTCCATAGGAAAGGGTATGATGTAATGTCGGAAAGTTAGGCGCTGATGGGCTTAAACGTGCCTGTGTTGTCAGGCCTTAAAGGGGTCGTGCCACAATATTTGTGGCTTGCGCGCTCTTTGCTGCAAAGCTTTAATTATAGCTCCAATAAGCACGATACTAGCACCAAGATTCATTTATTCTCAATATAACTTGCCGCCTTTTTGATATGAACAATTTTCAGTTACTGTTTGTGGGTCCGAGTTGGGCAAGTACGTAGCAGTGTAGCTGATTTAGTCATGTAATCACAAAGCCTTGCATGCGTCATTTTGAGTATCGTTAGCTCTCGCACACATTCGCCACACAAGCACCTGCAAAACAAACTCGTCGCTACCTGCAGCAGCCGCGATGCTTTGCCGGTATGTACTGGGATGGAAGTCTGGAAGTCATTCACCTGACTAGAGATCTAGTGTGACGTCACTAGAACTTTCGTTGTCCTTTCTATAGAGCTACGTCAGTGCTGGATGCGCTCGCGAATGCGCCTCGATTAGGAAAATGAGCATTTAGGTAGTACTTGGGAAGTGACTTAAAATATATTATTAACTCACACGGTGCTTGCTATAGCCTTGAAGTTTGATGGCACCATACTATCAAGAGTGTCAGCTTGTGCACAGTTGACACTCGCAGCACGTTGCTCAACAACTAAGGAGTAACAACTGGGACAGTGGTTAATTTATACTCATCCTGTAGATACAAGTGTGTTCTTTTCTAGCACCCTTCTTGATTTGTTTAAGCAGCACGTTTCCCGTGTCGAAGCAGTGACAGTCGTTCCTAAGCACTCGTCCTTAGCACTTTCTTTTCGTGCGTCCGTGCTTGAGCGGCGCGTCACATGTGTGGGGTTGCCTGCCCTTCTTCTTGTGACATTCTAATTTCTTGCTATCACATTCACTGCTTCACCCTCGCCAGAAACTAACTTTTTTTTTTCACCTGCACTTTTGCAAAATGGGATCATGTGCAACCATGCCGTATTATTACTTCAGAAATGAGGAGTTTGACAGGTTCACACACCGATGTACCATATTTAGGAGGCCGCGATGTTGATATGAGAGTGTGCTGCTCACAAAATTCAAGGACTTCATGGATGGCCAAGAATTCCAGGACTTTCAAGGGCCTCGAAAACTGCATTTCTGAAATTCAAGGGCTTTCAAAGATTTCAACGACCTGTACGAACCCTGAGGTGGTTCAGCTGCCACTCATTATATCGCTACGCTGCATTGCCTCGTGGCTTTTAAGGGCTGTCGTTTCGGTGGACTTGCAGCGAAATCAGAATCGGGAATTGGCACATGGCACCCAAAGTTTTAGAACTAACCGAACTGGTGCTGAACGCCACTTCAAATTATCCACTCAGACTAGCATTGCAAAATACGGGGCTGCGGAAACATTTGAACTAAGCAGGATTTCAAAATAACAGAGTTCAAATTAATTAGGTTTTACTGTATTTATGTTACAAGCATCTATCTACTCATTGGTTTCTTGATCATTTTGGTGTTTCGACAATCCATTAATTCAGACATTTTATCTGGGCCTCATAAAATTTGAATAAACTGAATGAACTATTGCTGCAAAGCCTGAAATCTCGACTCTGTGAAATTCGCAATGTAACAAACGATGTCATTTCCCAACATCAGAGCTCATTTAACCCACAGTGCTGAGTTTGAGAAATATTCTTTTATGAGTTACAGGTTTTATATCATATCCAAGTCTGCATACGCAATCTAATCTTAAGTATTTCAGCTATAAAGAAGAAAAAGAAACAATAGATTTGAGCAAATACAGTACTGACACCATGTGAAAAAAAGATGCTGAGATGAGGGCTATTGCAAAGCAGAGCAAACAAGCACACACTCCGTCAGGAATCAAAAACTCCTTTACACAATTTACAACATGGAAGGGTTTTTTTCCTGCAACACTACCAGCAACAACGTGAGTATAGTGATCACTGAACACATTAAAATGTCGCATATATGCAACCTGTTTCAGCTCTCACCTAAGACAAAATCACAGCAAGATGACACGGGGTGTTTGTGTTGGTCACAATCAACGAACCCCAATGCTACCATACCTGTGGCGTGTGTGGAGGCATCATCTGCGGTGTTGGAGGTGGGCCCATCTGGGCTGCAGGAGGCATCATGGCGGCTGGGGGTGACTGTGGTGTCGGCACAGGTGTTGCTGGGTGAACTGGGTATTCAGACTGCAGCTGGTCTGGCTGAAGCGTCGGGAACTGCAAAATAACACCGACCATTTCTGAATATGATCATCAGCGTCACACCACTCTCAGCAACAGCTCAAGTTCTGATGGTGAGCTCCGAACGCAGAAGAGGTGTGACAGCTTTTTAAGCTCGGTACAATCTGCAGTACAATCAATCTGCATTTTTTTAGGCTTTACACCTGACGCATGGCCGCAGTATAAAAAGACCTGCATCAGCGCGGCATCAAGTCATGGTCGCCGAATCTGAAGCTAGTGATGCAATAAATAAGAACCCGTGGGGTTTTATGTCCCAAAATTACGATATGATCATGACGGCTGCATTAATGGAGTACTCCGGAAACTTTAACCATCCCGTGTTCTTTGACGTGCACTGACATTGCACAATATGCATGCCTCTAGCATTTCGCCTGTATCGAAATGTGACTGCTGCGGCCAAGGCCAAATCCAAGACCTTCAAGTCAGCAGCTGAGCACATCCGCTACACAACTTCTGCGGGCTGCTGATGCACTGAAAATGCACAACACAAAGAACTGACACAGAAGGCATGAAGTAAACAGTGGTGCTGGCCAACTTACGAGTGCCGCTGCTGCCTGGTGATGTAAGGAGTGGTGCTGATGGTGCTCTTCTTCAAGGTGCGGTGCAGGCGTCAGCTGCTGTTGGTGGTGAGGGTGGTGCATGGCTGCCATTGGATGGTGGGCCATCATGGCCGCCTGCTGCTGTTGCTGCTGCTGCATCTGGTACGCCGCCGTGTAGTCCGGCACGGGCGTGTGTGGCGGCTGGGCGTACGTGTAGTCAGCGGGTGTGGGCCAGCCGTCCTGCAGGGGCGTCTGCGGCAGGGGCTGCTGGTACTCTTGGTGCTGCAGCGGAGGGACCATGCTCGCCGCATAGTGGTCCACGGAAGGCGGCCCCAGGTGACTGGGAGGGCCGCCGTGGGGAAAGTCGGGTGCGCCGAGATCGTAGTGGTGGGCCGACTGGTCGTTGACCGCACCATGGGGAACCACGAGGTCCTCTTCCAGGCGTCTCCGCTTAGTGTGGTGGCCTGCGTTAGGTAAAAAAGGGCTCGTGTCAAAATCACTTACAGGTGCACAGTATACATGGTGGTACGGTGGTAAAATGGTCATTTATTCCTGGAAAAGCTATCGCAGCACTCCATGTCAGGTGTTGGCACCAGTGGGCCACAGTGTGTTTGACATTGTGCAAGGAATGCTACCCAATCAAAATGTGGCCGCAATGCGTACGTTTCGTTGTAGCTTCCACCCTTCTCGTTGACACAATTCAAAAGAGAACATGCTTCACAATGCAAAAAAAATTTAAAGGCATTTCTTGGAATGCAATATCAAGGACATTACGCCACCGCGATTCTTAAAAGACTGCACGCCCTCAACACTGCTTGCTTTGTGAACAATGACGGGACAGGTCGACTGAGTAAAAGTACAGAGAAGACTTCGCCCCCCCCCCCCCCCAATCTTTCTAGATGATCAGGAAGGCAGAACAGTGGGTGCTGCCCGCACCCACTGTGCTTAGTGTCATGCTTAGTGCAACAGTGGTGGCTAAAGTACTGCAAGGCACGCTCACCAAGGCTGTTCTCCTGCATGTGTTCGTCGTGCTGCACCATCTGCTGCGGCTGCTCGCCAATGTTGTCCTGCTCATCGTCGAGCTGCTGCAACAGATGCTCCTCCCCTGCAGCCAGCTCGTTTTCAACGGCACGCGTCGTCAGATGCCGTTGATAGAGACGCGACAGAGTCTTGGACAGGATCGGCCGGCCGGGCAGTGCAAACAGCTTCTCAACTCCTCCGGTCTCCTTCCAATGCATGAGCCGCTTAGTGGGTGGCGCCAGGTCCAGCGTGGTCACAATGTCGCTCGTGTCCGACAGTTGGGACTTCATCTCCTCGCCTGAGATGTTCTTCACCTCGTCTACAATCAGCTTCCGCTTCCGCTTGGCGCGGGCTTTTTCCACACCTGCAGCATAGAAAAAAAAAATAGTTTGAGGTTCACAATTCTTTATTCTCAGACACAGTCTAAGGTAAACTAGAAAGAATATCTTTATTTAGAAGAAGGAGTTTAGATTAAGGAAGAGCAAAACTGAACAAATATCTGCAGCCATCAGAATCGTTCCTGTATGCTCTGCTGTAGAAGTGCACATCTTTGGAGGGATCGTCCCCTACTTGTGCATCTTCAGTTGTTTCCTACTTCCACACTGTCACTCACAGCACCAACTACAACATCCGTTAACATCCCATTGAAAATACATCCCAAACATTTACACCCGCTTTAGTCGCACGAGTTGACCAACTGGGTCATGCGAAGCGACAGAGCTGCTAAGTAGGGTCATGAACTCACCAGTGGCAAGTCAGATCTATTTCATAAGCGGGTTTTCTCCCATCACGATACAGGCGAGGGACAAAGGACCAAAAACAACAAAACACAGACAAGCACTGTCTCACGGTCCCTTGAATCCTCTGACTTCATCCGTTTCTCGTTGGGAAAAAGCTTCATCAAGATCATAAATCAACTCAAATAGAGCTCTGCTAAGTAAATTTGTTTGGTTTCTTCTCCATATTATAAAGTTTTTCTTCATTGAAGCAAGTGCTTGCCACGCAAGACCCACCCTGCACTACGGTGGTGTCCAACGGTGCTAGAGCAAAGCTCTCGTCCTCATTGTTGAGCAGAGTGGTCTGCTCTCCGGGCCCAACGTCGACGCCACCCATCGGAGCAGAGTCTGCGGAAGGGGGCTGCGGAGGCGGGGGCATCGCAGCCTGTTCTTGCTGTTGCTGATCGAGCAGGCCATCGTCCATGCCCGGCATCGCCGAAGAGGATGACGGACCGGCCACTCCTACAGCAGCCGATGTCGTGGCGCCTCCATCGAGGTCCCGGGCATCACCTACTGAACTTCCAGGACTGGACGGCCCCGACGGGGCACCCATTGACGGAGGACCCATATCTGTATCACAGTAATAATTTATTAATTGATAGGGTTAATTAATCAATAGATGTATAGGCATGTTCGAACCCTGACACAATCACAGGCCCAGTAACAGCTAAGCATGCCATGCTCAAATCAGCCAATGGCTGTGACAAGGGATTTTTTAGCTTGTAGCGTCATTTGTCGAGGGAAGAGAAAGCAATTTCAAGCTGACATTTAGAATTTATTGTGAATTACAGGCTGCATGCTGCGCTATAATTATTTGGATTGTGTGTTCTCGTGAGCCTCAACTACCAAACGGCAGGGTTTCCTGACCCTGCTTAAGATGTGTAGCAAGGCCCCTTTAAAAGATTGTCGTCTACTTAAGGTCGACAATAAATTATAAGATGCTGGCTAAAAGAAAGAGTTTTGATAACTTTCTTTGACACATCACACAAGTCAGTGCTCATAGCAAGATAATAAATTATTACACTAACTGGCAAAGACAAATGAAGTTAAATTAAGGTGACAGAAATGCTATTCTGCAACAATATTGAAGTTCTGTGCTACTTTTAGTCAGCAGCACCGCCTTGTCGAGACACCAATAAAGCCAGCGCACTTACCATACATGTCATCATCATCATCACTCTCGTCAGCAGGCCGGGCATCAGGACCAGATGGAACGGGACCCGGAGCCCCCAAGGGGCCGTCCCGGTCTGACCCACTGGTGTCCAGGGGAACGTGTCCAAGCGGCGCATCATCGAAGAGCCCCGCTGGCTCGAACAAGCCACTTGGTTCACCCTCTGCGCACCCGCACGCACTTTAAATCACTCTTCCCCAAAAGTGCTTCGCCTAAATGCCGAAGTGCAATGTATCATAGAGATGCTCTCACTGCATCCTATCTTCTGTTCCCTCCTGTCAATTACGCTGATTTGCACTTATAATCAAGCATCACACCAGTTTCACATATTTACTTTTGATCACGATCAGGGCAAATCTGCATAGAATTGCCTGATCACGATCAGCAATGGTCACTGGCTACGCAGTCCAAACTCGTTCATATCAAGATTGGCGCTGACATCAGTCAGATCACAGTGAGCTTATTGTGATCGTCTTGATCCAGATCAGGCCTCATCGCGATGACTAACTGTTACCATGAAGCAGCACCTGATCCATATCGAGCTTAATCTAGATCAGTTCCGATCACAATTGAAAGCACCCGAGTGTTAACGGTATCAGATATGCTGCACTGTAGACTTTGAAAATGCTTATTTACCATGTTCAAAGCAGCCCAAAGAGACTGCAAAACAAGACAAAGAACAAAAGATAGGCACTGAAATAACTCTTAAGCTGATAGTTCAGTGCCTCTGACATTCCTTCGTCTTGTGTTGTTATCTTCCCACACTGCTCTTACAACAGCAAGTGAACAGCGCAGTTCTGCACACTATAGCTTATTGAATATATTTGATTGTGCATTGCATAGAATTTTTCCTGATTTTATTATTTACTTTACTGTAGAAGACCATTCTATGGAGTTCAGCGGGGTTTGTACAGGTTTCCAAAGTGGAAATTCAAGGATACTTAAGGACTTTCCAAGACCTGCAGTAATAGGAAGTGACTTTTTACTTTTGGGAGCATATTTTAGAGCATGAAAAGTACTACTTTGGAGCAGCCATAAGTTTTCGGATCAGAAAAAAAATGCTTGTATAGAGCTGCTACTAGTGTTTTAGGAGCAGATATTAGGCTTTCCATGCATTAATTCGAGTTCAGAGCATTGTCGAAGCATCTCGTAAATATTTTTAATTATGTATTTACCAGACAACAATCTAAGTAAATTTCATGACGCAAAGAATGGCAGATTGTCAAAAATGGGCTGTGAAATGACCTACAACTTGAAATACTATTATTTGGGGCAGAAACTGAATTAAAGCGGAAAAGCTAAGCACCACATTTTAGAAGTAACCACAGTCCCATATGAGTGTTGCAAACGAGCAGTAAGATAATAGGTACGAGATAAAAGCAATCCGGCTCATTTTCACATTTCACAAGACTAGCCTGCATGTCGAGCTGAGAGGAAAAAAAAAAACAGCCTATATGGTCAATATGACAGTTCTGTCGCACAAATGGGATCAGAGCCGACATTGCTGCACACTGGGATGAAAATACACCGATTCTTTCAAGTTTCTTAAGGACTTATGAGATGATCAAAGAGTAAAGGTTCATCACTTCCATTTTCTCAGTATCATTTCGGAGCAGCTTTCGAGCAATTACTAACAAAAATTACTGTTTGGAGCAGCATGGAGCAACATTTCTCTTTTGGAGCAGTTTGCAGCAATTGGAGCAGCACTTCAATCACTGGACCTGTCGCACGTTTTTCAAGGACTAAAAGCAGCACGCAATGTTAAAATATTCTTACTCTAAAATTTTCAAAATTGACACAATTTTATTGCACTTCTGAAGTACATGCATTATTGCAATTATAACAAACATGTGTAGTCTGCACGTTAGCTCTCACTTTGGCTTCACTAGCTTCACCGCTTCCACAATAGGGAAGAAGCCAGCACCTAAAGAGCATTACGAGTCTCTTACTATCTTAGTTCGTGGTTTGATGCAGTAAAACTATTCCTACATGCAGCTTTGGAAAATTAAACCATATCAACTCACGCCAAATTATAGTTTCGGAAATGGGGAGTTAGTCAGGTCGATGTCGATCCAAATCTGCCATGTTCAAGGATTGGAGATTTCAGCAACAGGAAAGGGGGGGTCTGATTTATTTTCTCTCCTTTCTTTTTTGCACCCCAGGAAGAAAGGGTTTCAGTAAACATCAGCGTGGCACAGTCTCATACCAGCTTGGCCGAACACCCGAGGGTAACGGTTTCCCAACTACAGTAAAATGTGCGAGTCTCAAAGGGGGGTGAGCATACTTCTACCACTGAAAATTTCGCGTCATCAAAACGACTAGCAAAATCTATTGCTGCCGAAAGAACTCGCATATGTCTTCCTGCGACACACGTGAACAAACAGGACAGTGCAGCCGGCTGCCGGGAAAACGCGGGTCGAAGCTTCACTTAAGGCCAAAGTATAGCCAATGTACCCAGGTGGACAGGAACAGTGTTACTAGACTCTTTGGACGGAAACGCCAAAACGCTTTCAGCATTTTTTACACTTTTTTTATCACCTCTACCACTGCATTAGCCGCATGCCTTCGGCTAGTAATCGCGTTGTCCGTGACCGCTGTTTCACACACGGCAGTTCCGGAACACAATAGCTCCGTTTTCAATATGTGTGCATTGGCTACGCACGCGCCTTCAAAACCATGTCGTCTTTCGCTATCAGTGATCACATCTTCCACGATTTCGTCTGCAGCGTTTGTGGAAAGTAACATCGCTTTAACTGGTCGAGCGCTAGACGCGCATGCACTTTCGGACTTCTGGGAGTTACGTTGCCGCCACACTTGATCGTGTCAAGAGAGACCGCCGGTTCTGTGCACAGCACTTGTGGCAAACGATAACCGCAGTTCTGACAGTGCGTGCGCTGGCTATGCGTATTCTTCCGAAGCTTCGAGCACGGTGCTATCGGCCATCGTTCCATGGTTTCGGACTAAATTCATACGACCCGCCGCGATGAAGAAAAGAGCTCAGATCATCTGAATTTTGGCCCAATGAACGTTTAGAAGAACTCCTCTTAAATTCGTTTACAATGAAATGTGATGGTTTTGCAAAAAGCCTGGATTGGATTGGACTGCATTTCTGTGAATGCGGCCAGATTATGACAGAAATTTCAGTTTCCTAGAGATTTTCCTGACAACCGTACAAACGCAAGAACTGGTCGAAATCCGAGAGCCGTGTAAAACATCGTTGGCGCAAACTCGAAAGAAGACAGGAGACACAGAGAGACTTAGCAGGTATGCAGATCTACCACATAAAGTAAGCCGCAATGTAGATTGGGAGTGCTCAGAGAATTCCAGGATTTTCAAGGACCAGAAAAAATTCCAGGACTTTCAAAGACCTTAACAATGCATTTTTCAGGTTTTCATTTTATTTATTTATTTATCGATACTGCAAGTCAATACGCTGGCCCATGCAGGAGGGGCAAGTAGCTTCCCAAATCGCGCACACCACTGTTTGCAAGCGAGGATGAAATGAAGAAATGGCAAACAGGCGTGAGCACAAAAAGACGTAAAGACGCTTGTGGGCACATGCGTGGGGCACATGTGACTGGTTATGCGGTTTAGTGCCCCCCAAAGTGTTGCCAGCCCACACGGCACAGCCAGCTTTTTCGTGGAATGCCCATGGTGCTTCGCGAGAAAACCTGATTGTCTAGTAAGCTAGCGCTGTTTGGGCACACTGTCCATTAAAGCGAAAAACGCATGTGACGTCTCTAGCGTACGGTAAACATCAGGTTTTTTTGGGGGAGCAAGAGATGCATGTGGAGTTTTTCGCGAAAGATAAACGTATGTCGCATTGTTAGTGAGTGATAAACGCATAATGCCAGCCAAATGCACTGTGATACTGATACGCGGCGAGTGCCGGTGTTGCTGACGATCTCATCCGACATCCGATCTCATCCGATGCGGTGGCACTACCTATTGAAACGGATACTATCGGCGACGCATTATGAAAAAATGCTGTATTTCCACTCCAATGTTTCGGCCGTCGGATCCCCTTTCGTGCTGTTGCTGACACCTCATCCAGTGTTGCGATCGTCGCGGCAGATCGTCAAATTGTAAAAATGTCCCGCTCTGGATGGGGCAAGTAGGCATTGTACGATAGTTACTGCGACTCCGCTGCCTCTGCGGCTGATGATTTCGATGCGTCTAATAGCAGTGAATCCGAGGACGACCATTAGTCAGACCCCTCGGAAAAGTAGACTTTACGATACCATGTATAAGTCAACTCCGATTACAGGCCGACCCTTTAATTTGGAAGGCCATTTTATGAAATAAAAGTTGACTTACAATCAGCAATATACGGCACAGTCTGTGTCTATGCCATATGTACCCAACATTTAAACTAGGGTCCTGGATTTTGAACAGTGAGGAAGAATAAATCTTCAACTTTTTCTTTTCATTTTTTATATTCATTTCACAATTTATCTCTACTAAAGACGAACAACAGGCATTTTTCACACTCATAATGCAGCTGCTAATGCCCAGGCATCCAAATGCAGGCGAAACAGGAACGCACTGGCAGAAGAAAAAGGTACGATTCGCCACTTACCAAGCAGTGCCCCTTCTCTGGCACCCTCGGCAGCTTCGGCCTCGGTCGACGCAGCCGCAGTTCCAAACGGATCCGCTTCCCCTTCCCGAGCGTTCCTTCCAGCCTCCATGGACTCCCCAGGCACCGGCATCGCTGCCAGAGCCGAGTTCTCGGTGGTTGAAGACGACGCACCGGCCTCATTGTCGGCTGAAGAGGGGCCACCACGAGGGACCTCAGAGGGACGCCCCAGCATAGACCCTCCCAGCAAAAGGCTGGCCTGGTCAAACGCCTCGTCTATGTTGGTCGCCTCACGGGCCATCTCGGGGTCGTCAAAGCCCATATCTCCTGTAAGCAAGGGTTGCACACTCCTGGGAACACTGAGGGCAATCTGCTACTCATCTCTGCGTTCGTGTTGTGCCATGGAAACCATGCAAAAGTCATGCAGAGGAAAGAGAGTTGCCCATCGACGTCTTTTCCACGAGATGTATTTTCCAAGAACTCAAGATTTGTTCGTACCAGTTTCCAACATCCTACAGCACTGATAGCCGGGCCGTGCCGTTTGATAATTTATGTTGCGCCGTTCTGTAATCATGAATACTGCATCCCCAGGCATTCCGCCAGTTTAAGAGTACACACCCAACTATTGAACTAACTCTTAATTCGTTCCTCCCGCTGACTGCTGCCAAATAGAAACACCTTCATGCCTCTTACATCCAACAATCCTGACCAAAAATCTTTCCAAGCCACAATCTCTAGTATGGCAGAACAGAACTCACCCATTCTTCTCTAAAGGCATTGAAAGTACTTTTAAGTAATGTAACAGCAAAGATTACAGGCAGAAGCCACGCAAGAGCGAACGGTCTGGCCACCGACACTTCCCAACAATGCTGCAAAACTAATGCTTAAAGTACTTGAAGGTGGTCCACTATGGCAGCACTTTTAGGCTTATTAAATAATTATGACAGACCAGTCACTGTACACATGAGCCAAGGTTGCTGTAACTACAGGGAGTACTTTCATACCTCAGCCAGAAGAGCTGCCCATCACATATTGCTGGGTGCTGAAACTGAAAAGCTACAGCATTGACAGTAGCCCTACCAAACTGGCCAACAAATACCTACGACACAAAGCACACACTTTTCTTGCATTTTAAACTGGGACAACCTTCTTCAACGTGCAATATGAGAAATGCAAGGCACATAACTGAGGTCTCGTTCGTTGAGGAGCACAGTCGCACAATCCTTCACATTGTCCTCAGACACAGTGACAATACATTCATTAGCCAAACACATCCCCGTGCAGCAAGAGATATACTCACCAAAATTGTCGTCATTTATGAGACTGAGAGAGCCATAGTCCTCCTTGAGTGTGATGTCTTCCGCGCGGCTTTGGTTCAGCGTCACTGCCGCTTCCATGTCAATGTTGCTGCATGCGCGAATGGCCAGGAGGAACTCAGTGAGACACGTTTTACAGTTCCAGATGTAAGAGCACTGTTAGTGCTAAGCCACTACCAAAGTTCCATACCGCAATCTGAACAACAGCATTGATTTGTTTTTGTTTAAAAGAAAAACGCCTTCGCAATCAGGGCATTTCGCAGCCTTTTGTGTCATACTTAGAAAGCAAACTTGCATTTGAACTATAGGACCGAGATCGCTTATTCAAAATGTCAACAGGCACATAAACGTGAATCCCAATGTAAAGCACATTGCAAGAGCACTTGATAGTATAGTCACCTCTCAGATGAGCTAATACATGCAATAAAATATGCATGTGATAGAGAGACAGAGAGTAATGTGCTTTATATGCGCTCTGAAGAAATTTGCCTGAAACTATGCCTAGCATGTATTTGCTGCCCCTGCTACGGTAGCTTGCATTCAGCTCACCACCGCATTGATGGATTAGGTCATCTTTCATGCAGGCCATAGCATTAAAATATCCAGAAGATTAACTGTAATTTTTCATTTAGAATATGTCGACACTTGAAATATGTTGGGATCCCCATATCCCAATTCTTATTCTCAGTTGGACTTATTGCCAAATTTCGGGCTGCCAAGTTGAAGATGCAGCCCTAACATGAGAGCAGTCATCTTAATGCAGACAATTTAGCCAAATCCAGACACAAGTGTGCAGACGCCAGGCTTCAGGAGCAACACACGCCAACGAATACGAAGCTGGCGATGCCCTCCCCATTCCCTCAAACGAGGGCTCGTCTTTCTCCTCACCTGAGGTCGGGCATGGTGGCCTCGAAGTCGTGGAACACCTCGGGCAACGTGATGGTGCTGAGAGCAGCCTGCCTGCCCTCCTCAGGTAGGTCGACTGCTCCCGGCCGGAAGGCCATCTTGATCTTGATGAACGCTTCATTACAGTCGGCCAGCAGGTACTTGGCCTTGCGCGAGTAGATGCGAACGATGCCCAGCAGCAAGTGGCCGGACGTCCGCAGCGCCATCTTCACCTTGGGCTGTAGGATGCCCTCGACGCTGCTTTCAATGTTGGTCTCGAAGACGTGCGCCTTGGTCAGCTTCTTGTCCCAGTGGGCCGCTAGCCAGATGCGTGCCAGCGGGCCCTTCTTGGCCAACACAAAGTGTGCGTAAAACATGGCCGCCCTCAGCTGTCAGGGGGAACGCTGCCCCCCGACCCGACGCTTGCCCTCCACTCACGACGTCCCCTTCCTGCAAGAGATCGCATTCGAGGTATCAGCAGATTGCGCAGGCATCAGCTACTTCGGCGTGGCACCACATGGCAAGGATAAAGAACTTCCTGAACATAAACTTGGGCTATACCTGAGGACGATAAGAAAGCAAGGAAATACCTAAACAGCAAATACAATTGCCCACTGAAAAATCACTTTTGTGGTAAAGCACCTTAATTGAATTAAGTGCATATCAGTCTCACACACTGCCCCGCTGATCGCGATTATGTCTGATCTGGAACGAATTCCTCGCTTAAAGAAGCCAATCCCGATCAACAAATCTAATTCGGATCAGACCTGATTGCAATAAATGACCACTTGACAGAAGTGTTATTTGTACTAAAACAAGTCTACGCTCGGTAGCGTGCTAGGCTAAGCAGAAAGGTACAAACTCTTGCCCTGCCTTTGGAGAACAAGAAACAGCCTCACTACATGTTAGAAACCTCAATCAATTATCTGCACTTTTCTATGCTCCTCACACTAATGCTTCCGCTGCCCTGTGTCCATATCAATATGGTTCACTACAAAGTAACACAGCCCACTCAATATATCTAAAGTCACTAGTACATTGTCTAAGCATGCTTCCCAGCTCTAATGCAGTGCAAGAAAACTAAGATGCTATTTGGTGAATAATTTTTCCTTTTAAAGTGTCGAGGGGCAAGCCATAATGTGTTCGATCAGCTGCTCATTTTCATTATCACAGAAAGAAAAGAGGAAGGTGTTGCAGGCATATTAAGTAGAACATCTGGCCTGAGCAATAAATCGGCTCTGAAGAGCAAGAGTACAGTTCTATTAGCAATTTTTCTATTAGAATGCCTCGTCCGGAATCATGCCACTGTCCCATGCATTACAAGGTAGCCGCTGAGTCCCTTTACCAAGCTTCCCTCGCACAATAATAGAGCAAGTGCTGCTTCTTTGTATTTTTCTTAAGAAATATACAGAAACTTTATTATTATTCTCCTACAGCCGACAGCACTATTACAGCTGTCACGACGTATCACTCGAAGGACTGGATTTGAAGTTACACAATAATTTGGGGTGCATAATAAGCTACTTAGTTCATTCTTAATTATTAGCTTGCAGTAAATATTGTCAATTGTAAGCAACGAGTTTGCAAGGCATATCAACTTGCAAAGGATCCCCAGGATGACACCGGCTTAAAAACTATAATTTCCATAATGCATAACAGAATACGCTGGCTTTCTCACCGTTTGCGTGGCTTTAATGCATAAAAGCGTTTTCTAAGAACAGGGTAAGTTGCATAGTGAACCTTACAGGAAAATTAATTATTTAAATTTTCCTGTCATTAATTTAACTTGTCCACCATAAGAATGTGCCTTGTGAACTTGCCAGCTAGTTTAAAATTTGAAATATCTCCTAAGTAATTAGTTTTTATTTAATTAGCGAAATATTGTTAAGTAGCTTTACACTTTGATAGATCCCTTCAGTAATAACAAGCTTTTCAGACAATACAGTTTAAGAATTAGATCTACAAAATTCCAATTGTGCAAGGCCTTTTAGGCTGTGTTTTGCACAAACTCGAGTGGTGTACCTAAAGCAAAGGCGCCGATGAAAATGCCAAAACTTCAGAGTGTACCATATGAATGCTTAAACATGCATGTCTACAACTGTGCCTGTGTTGAGAGTTTGTTAAATGCATCGTGTCTGAGCGAAATTAGCAGGAAGACAATACAGTGGCTGCTCTCAGTATCATCATGTTGTCATTTGGCAAGTTTAACTGTTTCTGTGGTTTCTCATCAAATGAATTTCTTATTCTTTTTTTTTTCCCCAGCCTGATCTGAGCTCTCCAGCTATGTTAAACATTACACAGCAGCTATTCCCAGAGCTGAGATTCCCCGGAAAGTTTTCGGCAGCGTTCACATTACGCCGACATTTCAAAACATTCTGACGAACAGGAAGTTTTTCATAGATTCTGCAGCTGTATGCATTCCACGGTTCCAAAAATCCGGGGAACGAAATTAAACTTTTCAATAAACACAACTAACTCGTGTTTAAAGAGATTACAATACATTTTAAAGGTTTCAATGGAAGAATAAAGAGAGGAACGATGAATGTGAAAAACTAGTGCTGACAATAATGAGCATAATTTAACAGTAAACATGATGCTCTCAATGTGTCCTTATTCTCATATTTCTCATTTAAAAACTTCCCTCTGCAACGTCCCTAATCATAGCTTGTCTAGAATGCATCTTACCACATACTTAACCTGCATAGCACATCTTACCAGCATACCTGTGGTGCATTCTCGTTCATAGGTATGTGCCACACGTCTAAGATAGCATACCACATGCATATAAGCACCTATTTCACTGAAATATGGCGTAGCTGTTGCACACTGCACTAACCATAAAGTATAAATGATCAACATCACCACTGCTATGAGATGAATACTATTAGCCCAGCTTTGCCATAACAAATATTATGCTGAACAAATTCAAACCTGGCACATTTACATCAGGCAAATCTGGCTAAACTGTGAAATGGTATGTGATTGCTTGTGGAAAATTGTAAGAAAAGGGATATCATTAGGTAACACAACTGGGCTCCACAAACTTTTGTCAGGTTATTGTACTGCCTGCTATATTTCTGTGCCAGCAATGTCTCGCACAAGTGCATAGACTGATACTGCTAGTCAAATTAAGTAGGAATGAGCACACATTCGAAAATTTCTAATAGCATTCCATTCGATTCAGTGCTAGATCCAATATTAAATATTTGAAATGCCAAATATCTTTTTAAATGGTTTTCGAATAATCAGCACCGACGAAAGAACTCCAAAACAAATAGAATATTGAAACAGCTAATGGTTACTCTTTTTTTTTCTTTTAATCCCTAAATTATTATGCATGCACCCCAAGCTTTTACGAGAATATTGACACTACATTGACTACTGAATGAAGGCATTTCTTCTAAAAAGCCTACTTTTGCTGACTTTTTACTTAATGAAGCTGTATTGCATTATGAAGTTTCCATCTGCATCTTGTTATTACTGAAGGTGAGAACTACAACTAAATTGTCTTCGAAGATATAGCTTTTAATGCTGATATTTATATGCTTTCAGTGACGAGGCCCATGCAGTAACAGGTTGATCTGTTTCATTCCATCTTCAGCTGTATCCACAGTGTTTGGTTCAAAATTGTGTAGTTTTTGCGTCCCAATTTTATTGAAAATCTCGCAACAAAGCCTCACATTGATTCCTGCAGTGACACCTGTATTTCAACCTACAATGACAAGATAGTACGAAGGCTCTAGTACCAGCTGTATAGACGGTTTCAAGTTTGCAAGTGTTGTACCCCCCAAAACTTCCAGTCATCTCATTTACACAGTTCCCAAGGTCGAAACTGATTGCAAGTTTTCAGGTTTCTTTCAGGGGGTAAGGAAAGTCTCTCGCTTTTCACATAAAAGGAACGTGCATAAAGTACAAGAGAATCTTTTAAATTTTTTACATAGCTCAAAACAACATTTATTTGCATATATTTTGCCAAATAAGGGAAAGAAACTGTAGAAAATCAGCGGGCTATTTTCTAAAGCTCTTGATGTCCACCGATGCTATTAAAATTTAATGCACATCGGTGTACAAAACCAGATAAACAGGGTCTACAAGAGATTACCCTGGTTATTATAATTGGGGCATTTCGAGTCAAATAGTAACCATAATGTTTCTTGGTGGCAGTTACTAGATACTTCTTTTAAATAAAATGCTGGCTGAGTTCTATGACTATTTCAAGAATGTTTGTTTCACCATTCGAACAGTATTTGATCACTATTGGTATTCGATTTATCACTGTTTTATCCATATTCGATTCGGTTCCAAAATTCACTATTTGTACAGCTTTAAATATAAGCTGTGCAATATGTTATGTAGACATTAATGAAGCAGGAATGCCTTAATTTCGTTGATTGTCATTCCAAGCGTGGCACGTTAACCCCCTGAGTCACCACAGTAGATCACGTTAGGATTGTTGAATTAGATTATGCATGCACCATTTCCAGTGCATAAAGGAGACAGGGGAAAGATATTACAGTTGCTTGTTTATTTAATATGCAGGGAAAAAAAAAGAACAAAGTGCAAGGCTTTCACAACAAGTATGACGCAGCTACACTGTGCTTTGCAAGTCAAAATTTTTAACAGCTTTGTTACTGCAACTCGTGCAGAACTGCTTGTATTCCCTTCAGTTCCGTGCATTAGAGACATAACTATTGCTGATCCTTCATGGTTCGATTTTGGCATACCATACTGCGCGACGGAACGTGAACACGCTCAAATTTCCGTGCAGGCTGAAAGGTATGCTGCATTACTCGGGCGCAGACCCGCATTTTTATTCGTGTCTACGGTACGCTAAACATCTAAGCTCGGCCCGGTCACTTCCGGGGGCTTCCAGCTCTAAGCGTCGCAGCTGGTATGCTCAAGGATGGACTTTATATCGGGCAAGTTGGCAAGCACTGCTTAAGCAGGAAACAGCGCAAAATACCGCACAAGGCAATTATCGTTCTGTTTGCGTGAGCAGTTTTCCAAGAGCGAGTTACTGAAGTTACACGAGCGTTTTGCAAATAATCGGTTATTTGAGCACGCAAGGTTTCCTTGAGCGTGAAGTATTGCCGGCGGAAACGAATGCAGCCGTCTTCCAGAAAGATCGATCAAAACACGCCGCACATCTTATCAGGTTTCACCATTTAACTACGCATCGGGCACCGATCTCGATCCGTAGTCACCGAGGCTGATTTCCTTCAGCTCGCGCGAAATTAGAGATGCCGCACGCAGCAGTTATTTCGGCAACGTATCGCAAAAGCGTGCACTACGCAAAACTTTTCCATCGCGAAGCGTAAACATCTGGCGGGCGCTACCTCAAAAACTGGCGCGCAATTTCCCGCCTTCAGGCGTTCAGCGCCTAATCGGTACGTATCCTATTCTAACTTTGACTTAATCATGACATCAATCCGGGAATATCAGATTTCGCGCAAGGAACGGCTGCGATGCGGCGGCCGCTTGTTATACGGAAGCGCGAGCTCGTTGTAAATATATAAAAAAGTAAAAACGGCACCCGCCCCCGAGCGAAACAGCTACGCCAGCCTTCGCAGCACGCAAGGTGGTCGGCTCTCAGCGCCGGTCGCACATTGTAGAAATCGTTAAAGACCGACGTAGCGTGGACGTTTTTCGGTAACGAAATGAACCACGAAACGGTAACGTAAGGGGCTAGCCACACCAGCGAACTCGGAGAGCGCCCGCAGAGCGATAAATCCGCCATTGCAAGTCGCCGGCCTATGCTGGGGACCGAGTTTTCGAGAACCTACGCAATGCCGCTGCGTAGACTATTTCGCCGCTGAACTGCGGCAACTGAAACGGAGAAGATCGCGGGAAATGCTAAAGAAACCGCGAGCTCAAACTCTACGAGGCCAAGAGCGATCGCCGACCATTTTTTTTCTTATGTGCACCGCCGTCGGTTCCTCAATATTGGCCCAGCGGGAACAGGCGCTATCGGAGTAGTGCTTCCGTTTCACCCTAGATGTCATGAGGAGCGCGGCGGTTTGGCCGCTGAGGCGACTGGACTTTGAGAAATGAAGCAATTTGGAGGCGCCACGGCGCGCTCACCTCGATTATTCGTGTACCACGATGGTCCCTGGTCACTCCGGCGATCAGATGTGGTCCGGTAAGCCGGAATCGGGCGACGTATTCATCTGGAAAGCGGTCCCCGTCACCGCTGAGAAAATCGGGCCGCGTACTTTTTCACATCCAAAATGGCGTCCTGGTGTTTTCCCGCCGATTCTGCCGTTTCAAAACAGACGACGCGCACCGAGCTACATCCGCGCAAGAAAGTAGTCTCGGTCGTCTTTGACACCAATTCAGAGCTCGCTGTAAACTCTCGACGTCTTTTTTAATCAGACATTTGTTGTTTGTGGTAAGAAGTGTCCAATAAATTTTAATTCGGCAATTTTAAACGAGCTTTCATTTTCATCTCATTGAAGCGCTGCGGCGGCATAGTGTCGGAGTCCCTTAGTAGAGGGCGCAAGGCGGCAAACAGTGTCACGTGGCTAGTCATGTGAACAACTGACGCGGCTTGTCCTGCGTGTCTCCTCTCTTTGCGTTGTTGCTTGGTTTGTTTCCTTTGTAGGGCGTGGGGGTGCGGCGCTTCGTAAAACGGCCCTGCCAGCTGCGTTGCGAAGCCCGAGCGGCTGGGAAACGCCGACGACCTTTGGGCTGGCCGGAGCCAGTTTGCGATAGCGTGTGTCCTTCGCGGCGTTGTTGCCTCAACCGTAGCGAGCGGGCGGGCGGGCGCGCTCTTCGCCAACCGCCATTACGCGTCGGGCGCGCAATGGCGGACCGGTCGTTAAAATCACTAGCTCAAGTGCCGCGCTGGCTCGGCGCATTGTAATCTCCGCTCGATATGGAATCATCGCGAAAATATGAGTCGGGCGGTGCTTGCTGAAGGCGCGCACGCCGTATTGCGAAAATGCTGCGATTGAAATGTCACGACCGACTGAGGCAGCGAAGAAACGGAAATCCGAAACCGACGCGTCAGCGTGGCCAACTTCCTGGCGGTCGCTACTATTTTAAGCGCCTCGGGCAGGGCAGGAAGGAAGCTTGTTCGCCGCCTGCAGTCGTCGTGTTCACACCCTCTTATTTTTCTCATTCCGGTGTCGTGTCGTCTTGGCTACGCGATGTTACGGCAGCTGAAGCCCGCGCGGCGACAGAAATGTGACTCGCTCCATACGAGTGCCGTGGACAATATAACTTAGGAACACCGCGCGAAGCACTTTGTCAGTTCCAGAAAGATTGATCACTCGGGCAGGCAGTTAAGGGGTCACGTGGACCCAGCGAGGCGGATTCGAGATTCACGTTGTACAAAACGTTCGTCCATTCTTGGTTCTTTCTTCATTATCTTGTATTGACTTACCTGCGCGGAGCATCGCATAAGTTTCTGGGAACTGAGTCGACTCACCGACGCGATAGTGGAACAATCTTGTTGAAACGTAGCGCATAGGCGCGGAGTTTTCTTGTGGAAGGCAATTCAGTTTAGCTTTACCAAATGATTTCCCGAGACTTTGGTAGAATTCATACTTAATAAGGCGGTGCTTGAAACTCTTGCAGAATTTTTAGTGCATATGCCTAGATAGGCACATTTTCAGTTCAGAGGCTTCTCTCTCGTGTTTTAACAAAATGTTTAAAAAAGCACAACTAAATCTTCTACATTCATAGTACTTGAGACAAACATTAACGCCTTCAGAAATACAGACAGTTTACATATGTACACAACCAATACAATCATCGTGCTTAAAAATAAACAAAAACTTCCTTATAACCAAACGACAGATATAACCTTGCTCAACTGTCCCAGTAAATTACATTACTGGTTAATAATGAAGTTATCAAGCCCATGTTTAAATTATACATATAAACTGCGCGTGAGTCACTTAACGCAATGATTTAATTGACATTATCATGGCGATTACTAGTAATATTGACACAGTCGCACAGTACGACGACAACGAAGTGCAGAGTGGAAAGGACTAATTTCAGCATGTATTTAATATATTGCCTATTATTTCCGTTTTATTTACTATCGTTATCATTCCACATTGTACAAATTATCTTCTTAAAACTTAACTACGAATACTGGGCCAATCCCTTGGGTGAGTATGTGCCATAGCGTTGAAATAACAAACAAAACCAAAATGTTTGGCCTCATTCTACTATTTTTTTATCGTGTACTCGCTTCAAGTCATGCAGTAAGGAAAACATTGTTACAGTGGCTTTTAATCGAATTAGATTGAATTTCATTACTTCTAATATTCTCTTTTTGGGGAGCCTCCTCATCAGGTCATTGTCACTGGGATATCTGTTCTGCTGTACAACGATTCTTAGTCGAATCAAGGTGGTTTCGATTGCAAATCTCTCAGTTATTAAAAATTTGATTTCTTCTCACCGTTCTAACATTCATTAGATTTAAATTTAATATGTGATCCACTATCTAAATAATCGTTTCTTTGCCAATCCCCCAGAGTGGGTGTATGCCATCCGTTTTGGTCATAATTAATCATCAAAAGACAGGGCTTGTAAACATGTATGCAAGGAAGATGATTGATTGATACGTGCGGTTTAACATCCCAAAACCACCATGGGATCATGAGAGACACCGTAGTGGAGGGGTCCGGAAATTTTGACCACCTGGGGTTTTTTAACATCATCATCATCAGCCTCACTACGTCCACTGCAGGACAAAGGCCTCTCCCATGTTCCGCCAGTTAACCCGGTCCTGTGCTTGCTGCTGCCAATTTACACCCGCAAACTTCTTAATCTCATCTGCCCACCTAACTTGCGATGCTTTTCCTGTTGCAAGGCACCACAAACACGCCTTTCCTGTGGAATTAGTGGTTTTCGCTACTAATTCGGTTTCGCAGGTCTCGTGACCCACTCATTTCATTTTTTTAATTGTTTTGATGATTGTTACCAGCGTGTGTTTTCTTCTTCGCCTGAATTTAACGTACGGCCCGGAATACCCGCGTTTCCCCTTTCAGGCGTAATGAAAGAATGAACCATAACTGCAAGTTTCACAACCATCCGAAACTCGGAGATTAATTGAGAAAGGAGACATCAAGGGTGGAGAAAAGTTGATCGACGCCAGGTTTTGATTACTCCGCTTTCCAAATAGGATTAATCATGTGCGAAGAACTTGTATGAAGCTTCGCTGCCTCAGGTTTGAGATACTGACCCAGAGATGCCTTTGATGTCAATGTGTAATTTTATACTAACACCCTAACGAGTACCATTTTAATCTTGTCTTGTCTTCAAAAATATTCGTTACTAAAATTCGGCGAAATCGTACTAATCTCTTCAAAATTGTTTCGATGAGGTTAATACGAGCTCAATAGCGTATTACTTGTAGTCTTAATTTCATGTATTACGTATTATTGCCATTTCGTTTCTTTTTTTAATCCCCCAGCTTTTTTCTGGTAACCTTTTAAATTTTCAATAACGCATTCTTGGCCAAGGTGTGTACGCGCCATAAGTTTCAAGTAAAAACAAACAATTTGCAGCCAGAAATATTTTCCGGGAGGAATGGGGGTGTCAAAAGTTGCAGGTAAAAAAAAAAAGGAGAATCCATCTTGGTTCCTTTTCTGCTTCAATAAAATCTGAAGGGTTGGTTGATTCGTTCACTGTAATATCTACATGCAAATACGAGCACACACAGGACTCCGAGGACTTCATAATATAACGCTTTCACACGAAGACAATAGAAGGAGAGATGCGACGACAGGAGTGCTGAGGACTTGATTTGTGGAACATTTATTTCATTTATCTATTTATTAAAATCCTCAGGGTCGAAGGCATTAAAGATGGGAGTGGTTAAAGTAAACTATAAAAGAACACATAAAATAAGATAGTAGCTAGGTTTTAGAACAGATGCTTAAGGATCATACGATTCTGGCTGAGTTATTAAAAGCATACAAAGTCATCTCAGAAAAGCGATAAAAACGCATTAAGGTTACAAACATCTGCGTAGTAGGCTTCGATGTCCAAACGTATTTAAATAACGCACAAATAAAACATGAACAAAAGGCTTGGGTGATACAACATTATCTAAAGCTGGAGGTGAAGAACCAAGAATGAACTTGACGAAAGAAGTGCAATTGTTCGAAGGGCCCTCTTCTTTGTTGGACACAGCCCGATGATAACAACAAAAACCAAGAAAAACGCAGGGGAAATTATTTGTTATCTTTAACTGTAGTTAAGTAGTTACTGCGTAAATTGAAATGAACTTGGGTTGGACAAGAAGACATATTTTCCGTCAGTGAGATGGGAATCCACAAACTGCATTGGTCCTTGTTGCTTTCTTATGAAGCCACTATGTAGCAGTTGATCCCCTGTAGATTTCTTCCAGAATGTTTATATATAATTCATCTACGCCCTGATTCCGCAGTGTTTGCATGACGGCTGATATTTCTACTGAATCAAAGCCTTCTCATAATCTAGAAGCTATGTATAGTGGTTGGTATATTCTGAGCATTTTCTCTATTACCTGATTGATAGTATGAACTGTGGTCAATTGTTGAGTAGCCTGTTCGAAATCCTGCTTGTCCTTTGGTTGATGAATTCAATGTTTTTCTTTACTCTGTTAGCAATTACCTTTGTAAATAGCTTGTATGCACAGAGAGCAAGCTGATCGGCCTGTAATTCTTCAAGTCCTGTCATACTCCTTTCTTATGTATTAAGATGATGTTAGCGTTCTTCCAAGACTCTGGTACCTTTCCCGTCAGAGACACTCGTAAACAGGGTGGCTAGTTTTTCTAACACAATCTGTCCTCCATATTTCAGCAAATCTGATGTTACCTGATCCTCACCAGCAGCTTTGCCCCTTTGCATGCTCTCCAAAGCTTTTCTGACTTCTTCTATCATTACTGGTGGGGTGTAATCTGGGTTACTGCTAGTTCTTATAGGGTTTTTTAACGTGCACCCAAATCTGAGCACACGGGCCTACAACTTTTCAGCCTCCATCGGAAATGCAGCCGGGATTCGATCCCGTGACCTGCGGGTCAGCAGCCGAGTACCTTAGCCACTAGACCACCGCGGCGGGGCATGCAAGGCAGAGACAAGACACCACAAACACCTGGAACTTGCGATGCTTTTCCTGTTGCAAGGCACCACAAACACGCCTTTCCTGTGGAATTAGTGGTTTTCACTACTAATTCGGTTTCGCAGGTCTCGTGACCCACTCATTTCATTTTTTTTAATTGTTTTGATGATTGTTA